AACCCCTCTTAGTATACTGAGTATACTATAACTCCAATTTCGTAGCCTAATCGTGTGAATTCGAGCCACGTTCTGCCCGTAGCGGATATATAAAAGAGATGCCTCCATAGCAGACATAACTCTGACGATTATGTGGTGCGTTTTATAGGAGAAGCATCCTTGAAACCGGACAAGAAACCCTGGATCGTTTGTATCCTGATTATGGGGTATTCTGACTCTTTCTACAGGCTTCATAAAAAAGAAAAAGTTCTTCAAGCTAAAAATACGAAGAGATTTCCTTTTGAAATTCTGGTTTACCGTGTCGCCGTCATGCGGGTGCACCAACGCATGATAATTAATGCGGCCAATAATTTATTACGATTGCGCCCCCAGGTTTCGTGAGCCGTCGATGACGGAATCGGAGCAGGAAGCGAAAATACCACGGCTTGCAGCACGGACTTTCCTGGTTCGTTCACAAACTTGTTCTTTTCTTATTGTCCGCCGCTTGGAAATCTGGTTGCGCAAGGACTATTCTAATATTGTTTCGGAGACAATGCTGTTACGTGTCGAGAAGTGCTAAGAAATTCGTTGAGACAGCTAACTTCTGTTCTAATGATAAAAGTGAGATTAATTTATACTGAATGGTGTGAAAAATATTTTTATATTTTCGAAATTCTGCATTGCATTGAAGTGAATAGAAATCTAATTTCAGAAGATTGGGATAATGATTGACATCCTTGATATACTACTACTAACCCATTATTATATTGTACTATTATACAATAATACTACATTTTTGTAGTTCCAAGAAACTAAACTAAATTATGATTTTATTAAAACTATAAATATCTCGTAATGAATGTTTATGATCCTACTTTATATACCAAAGGTTGTACAAATTTTACTTTTTTATAAAGAAACATTACTACATTTCCATTTTTCTAAACAACTGTACTGAATTATAGTTTTAATACAACTGAATAAAAATCAAATTGCAGCAAATTAATGAGATGATTAATGTATCTGATGGTAAATAATACTTCACGTTGAAACCTAATAAAAATTCAATAGGGAAAGGTGAACGTATGCGTACAACCATTCTTGAAATGTCAAAACTCATAATGGACTTAATCTTATACTGGAAAATTATAGCCACCTGTAACAATGAAAGGGTTAAGCATCTCCATTGACCTTCTGCAACCAAAAAAAAGCTATTATGAAATCTCTTCTAGCATATTGGTTTCATGACGAGGGCCATTGTAACTTAGCAAAATTATGCAGACAGAAGTTGTAAGAGTAAACCGTCACAAGAGTGAAGGTCGATCGATCGACAGATAAAAGCCTAACATTCTGATGGAACAACGGGTAGTACGTTTTATCAAGACCGGTTCAAATAAAAGATACACGTAGACAAGAAAGCCGGAACTACGGGCCGCCGCGCCGGATGTTGCGAGGTCCGAGAACGCGAGACAAGTCCGGCATCCAGAGACGGAATGAGAAGGTACATGGAACGTGATTTCGTGCGTATAGCGGTAGGATGATCGATCATCGATCATTGAGATGATCCAGATTCTGCAGCATGGAATTTCCTTTACGTGAATTTTGCGGTTTTTAATTCGACTATTGTACGAGCAAATATTTAATATTTTTAGGGAAATTTTACATGTGACAAATTGCAAGTTATTAGTATTAACAAATTCTTCTGCATAGTAGAAACAGTTTTAAATAAATTCGACAAATAAAATTTGATTAATTTGATCGATAAATAAAGATAAATTTGGCAAATTGCAAGTCATTTGATTATCCTATTTGATCCAAAATTAAAACATTGGAAAAGAAAATGTAAAACTTTTCAGTAATATTTGCTAATTTCTCTATATATTGTGCAGATGTTCTAATATTTATAACCGACAGTTCACACGAAGGATATCGTGGAAAATTTATGTAAAACGAACATGTAGTACAAAAGAAGAAGTGAGTATGGTAATCAGAATTAGTGTTCTAAGAAAAAGCAAAATTATTCCATTATCTCGTAAATGTGTGTAATAGAGTATAGTAATTTGTTTCGAAGTATCTAACGATGTATTCCATTAACAGTAAAACGAATACTATATCGAATCGTCATAAACTAACGGAATAGATAAGAGATGATTTAACATACAAAAATTGAAGAGATAAAAGAAGCAACAAATTTTTGTTTGAATAAATGCAAATGTTAGTGGTTTTACGTGCTCGTGGTGTGTAATGATACCATTTAATATGGTAATGGAATGTCTACGAGAAGACATTGACATTATCAAGACCATTGGACGCGAGTGACGATTTTTCACTTTTCGTCCCAGTTACGTAAAATTGTGTGGTATTCTGAAAGCCGCAATAGTATCGTTGTTGATCTTCCTACAGTTAGTTAACACAAAAAGAAAGCTTTGACCAGAATACATTTTATTTCATACCGGTTTCCAGACTTTTTCTCGACCAGCAAGGGAATAGTAAGATCGTGGTGCTTCCGCGGGTTCTTTATCTTATCGCAAGCACGATAATGTGTCTGGTCGCGCTGCATGGAAATTAAAATAGGACTCTAACACATTAACTTTTACAAAAATATAAAAAAGAGCTACTGTAAAATACAAATGATCATAAAAAGAGAAGTACAAAAAGTCCCTATTTGTGTCAAGTGACATAAAAATGATTCAACGAAAACAAATTGCAGTCGAACGCGTATCAAAGTACAACTGCTATCAGAGAGACAGAATAGTTTGCTATCGTGACAAGCTACCACCAGCGATTACGCTGTAATCCATACGGCGCCGACTTTTCGGATTGTCATTCTATATTCAAAATGGAGCACGCTATTTATTTTTCGTTTTCTATTGAGGAATATTCCGTCGCTCTTAGCCATATCATTTCTTACCAAATTTAGCTTCACGCTATCTTTCAGAGAACTTTCCTTGCAAATTTTTTAAGTCACTTTTATATGAAGAATGAGAAAATTGAATTTAAAGATTAGCAGTTTCACCAAGGAAAACTCTTGATCTCCTTTGCTGTTAGATTATTTAGAAAATTCTTGTGGTTAATTATGAATTAAATATTTTGTAACATCTTTTGTATCTTCTGGACTACTTCGTTCGGAGAGAAAGTTCCTACTTTTCAAAGTTTTTCATGTCGCAAATCGCAACAAGCTGATTGTTCGTAACATAGTCGTTTCTCCGGTTCATTCCTGGCAACCTACTAAGGAACGAAGGTCGGTAGGCAGGGAGCAAGTGCGATTAAGTGGATCCATCAGGGTTACGGCGGTATGTATAGTTTTTCACTTCACATTGTGAGTTGGCCGCAATGTGCGACGCCTTGGCATGCGGGGTTCTCACAGAGAATTCCTGGTTCCACGAACAAAAACTGCGGGACGTACGACGAAGATGAACTTCGCCCATCGGAAGACACCGAAAGAAAAAAAACTTCAACCTTAAGGGTGATATATATCTTCTTTCTTTGAAAAAAAGAAAACGATGACAGGTTTTCTACGAGATCATGAAACTATCCTTAATGAATTTGTTTTTTATTCTCGCTAGAGACACAAAACTGTTAACTGAACTATACGAAAGTCAAAAATTAAAATTTAGTAAAAAATTCGTAAAAAGATTAAGATTTAATCAACGTATTTAGGTAATTGAGAAATTTGGCGAAAAAAATTGTTTACTCTCGTAGAAGTTTAATAGAGGAAGTGAAAAATAATGAATTGGAGATGTAAATCGGGGGCGTTAATGGTTTCTCCTGAAAGAGTAGAACTAGATTCGTGAAATTTGAGATGACTAACCCACCATAAAAATATTCACAAATCAGTGACCAGGATGCTCATACACAGTTGGTTTCTCGAAGAAGTTAACGGAAGAATCCAGCTGTTTTGTAACGACCTTTGGCGCAGCCTCGTGTGAAACGGGCCAGGCAAACGCAAATACAATGAAAACTCAGCAATGTAACTATGTATTCAACAATCGTGTAGTTAATATCTAGAGAAACTGGGGTGTTGACAGGCAATAATGCAAAGTTCGCATTGTATTAAATGCGATGACCCTAATTTTTATTGACTGAGCCGGCGATATTGACGATGATATACGAGGTATGCGAGTAATCGACTTTAATGCCAATTAACCTGGCTCGATCGAAATTTTACACTACACGCCACGAAGAAACTACCAGTATATTCGCTAGAAATTTTACTTGAATATTCAAATGGTTTGAGTTGTGTCCTCCATTTCCTCGCAGATGTTGGACTAAACTGGCTACCCTAAGCATCTTGCTGGGATCAAGGGCCTCCGGAGAGTCATGTTTCTGTTCGTGCAAAAAGGGATGCGAAACCGAGCCGCGTGCAGTTGCTGCTTGACGAACTTGGGGACATTCGGTTCGTGAGAAATTCACCCTCATCTCAAACCTGACTTCTGTCAACGTTCAAATAAAACCAATGAAATATCTTGGAATATCTTGAATCGATTAACGCAATGGAAATTTTGTATGACGTAATAATTTCGAATATAACTGATAATTTCAATCAATTGATAATTTTATCACGAATGCTGTTTACTCAATCGAAAATAATCGCGACTATTTTTGGCGGGATAGTAATCAAGCGAATGACTACGTCAGAAATAATCGTGGATTAAACACACGTACCGCCGATGAATCCCATTAGCGCGAACGGACAAGGACACACGTGGTCCAGCTGTTAATAAGTGCAGGGAATCGTTTTGTTCTCGTTTTCATGAAACCGTTTTAACGCCTGTCACGGATAACGTTTTGTTCTCCTCGTTTGCTTCATTAAGCAACCACGTCATTGCTTTTTGTACCCTCCCGCGGCGCGTTCAACCTTTCTTTTTGCTTCATGCGCGACTTTTTTCATCTAGCATGATCTTTTGTTCGATTTAATCCTCATTTGATTACGAACAAAAGGTTCGATCAACCTTATTTTGATCGGGACAATTGAGATCGGTGTGAAAAGGGAAGAATTGTATGTAATTTGATGGACTTACCTGCTGTGGAGTTGCGTCGGCGGGAGAAAAGCTCGAAAGGGCGGTTAAGGGCGCAAGCGAAGCGCACGAAGATGCCCTTGATGGCGGTGGTGTGTGTCCAGGGGTAGGACTTCCGCTTCCACAGCTACTCGCACCTCCGCTCGAAGCCAGGCTCACGCTATCTGCTCGCCCTCGCCACGGCGAGACTGACACGTGCTTCAGCATCCCTCTTTGATCTCACCTGAAATCGAAATTCGGTTGTTTCCTTTAGTTTTGCTCAAAATATAAAACTGTTAGATCGAACTACACATCTAGAAGCCAAACAACTGATAGACTTTATCGAGACAAAGTCTAAAAATGTTTATCTGTGAAAAGTGAATTATTTCGGATATGTAAAATTAAACATAAATCAATATATTCTGCTCTTAAGAAATACCAGAAATCAGATTCATAAAAGATTAGAAAATAAATTGAAGAAAAGAAGACTGATTGAACTTAAGAAACAAACTGAGGAATTTTCAGAAAACATAATTGATCAATTGCATCTAGCGATTTAGTCTAATAACCTATTGACTGGATCCTGCAGTTCAATTACATCCAATAACATTAAGTATCACGCAGATGAAATTAAATGCTGATTTAACTATGCGTTTGAATTTGAATCTCCTTTCAACATGTAAAATTGAATAATTTCATTCAAATAATATTCCAAGAAGCAATTTCCAATTGTACATTGTAATGCTTATTGTTGTATCATTTAATTGTGCCTTTCATTGTGATAATTAATCCAATAACGGAGAGGAAACTAGTTTACGGGTCGGTTAGAAGCGAGGATTAACAAGAATCCTGAAAACAGGTTGATCTAATTTTATGCTATCTTTGGTGCTACTTAAGATAGGGTAATGTATACGTGACATCTATTTAGGATAAAAAGTTAATGTAGCTGATAGCTTCTTCGGCCTCTCTCTTCAAGGCTACGAAGAGGGGAAACAACCGTAGTGAAGGACGTTTGATAATTATCGACGAGACTGTAGATGATTACCGAGCTGTGCCTGGTACATGTTACTAGAAAAAAAACTAGCATCGACGTAATTTCGTCGGGCAACGAGAGACAGACAAAAGAAGGAAAGCCCTTGAATATCACATAAACAGCTTAAGGGGCGACGCAGCTGCGTGCCAGAAGTTCGAAAGCTTAAACATTCGCGAGAAGCACGATGCGCATCCAAGAGGTAGCTGTACGTGGTCCGATTGTTAAATGTTTTCATAACAAGGTAGCTCAAGAAAAAACTGGTAACCATTCTCACAGCGTTAACTGTATTTTTCTCATTAATAATAAACAGCCATTCTAAACATCGACGCTCGATACTTCGGGCCATGTATGGAAGACCATTCGTATCTATTGAATTAAATATATTACAAAATCAACCGTATTAATTATTTCCTTTTAATTAAAAGCGTGCCGCGAAGCTCATATATATCCACACACACACACACACACACACACACACACGAGGGATATGTTCATTCAAATGTCACGTGTTACGGAAAAGGACAGACGGTATCGATAACGTTATCACGCGATACAGTCATGAATATTCACATAGATACTTACTTTTTACCAATTCACAGCTGAGTGCAGCCCGCACTCGCAGTCCGGTGCATACGTCAATGCGCGGGAATCATGTTTACACTTGGCGAACAAGTGGCATTGAGTGCATCCGATAATAATTACACCTTACGACACTGTTAAACAAATTACTCCCAAATATTGTTCAACGATTAATAACACATTATCTAGACAGTCCCTATTAAATCTTCCCAGTTTCTGTTGTTGGAAACCTTCCAAAAATACAAAGTTACTCGACGAATCCTCGTGGAACAAGCTTCTCCTTCCTCGAATCCACGTAATTATCTCGATGATTCACTATGACACGAATTATTATTCTTACTTATGTTTTTAGTCCTTTAATGATTTTGATGGATTTAATATAAGAATAAGAGACGCGTCGCGCGATGCTTGAACGAGCAAAGAACGAGATGCCTCGTCCAGCGTTGAAGTCACCCGTCTGCACGACGTTCCACACGCCACGAGCGCTGCGCTACGACTGAAAGGGACGCGTGAGCAGTCGCGTCGTGTAAAGTCGGCGTAGTAAGCCTACGAGGCGTAGAGGAAAGAAAACGACCTTCCTGCGAGTGCACGAGACCCGCCGAACGTTCTATGCGCGCGACTTTCTATCGCTGTGTTGGTGCGGGGGCGTGAATCTCGTTACCGTACGGTCGTATGTCCACGAAGAGTATTTTCTCTCTCTTTTCATTCTATCTCTGTTTCTCTCAAAGCTTGCAACTTTTCAGCAACGAGTAGGCGTTCATTTGTAAGCTAGGAGGATGTCCGGGGTTTAATTCCTTCTTTGCTTTCGTCTCGTTTCACTGATCCTTCGCCATCATCACTTTTGGGGTGCATATATTAAAAAAGGAGTGAGTTGATGCGAAATAAATTTGAATCATATAGAAGCAAATGTAACTCTTCTATTATGTTTGTAAAAATTTACGTTGGTAATTGGGTCCACACGGCTCTGCGGGAAAAAGGGAAAGAATTCACAGAATGCAGATAGTATGCAAAAATATGTAAAATATCTAAAGTATAGTACTCGTCATGATATGTTTAATACCTAGATAAAACAAATCTCTACGTAGGTTTTACCTGTTTAGTTGTATTCACAAAAATATATACGAATCTCATTTTCTGTTAATAATTATGATTCTATAAAGTTTTAACAAAGTCATCAAAATATTCATTGTGTAAAAAAAAGATCAAAAAGACTTTATTAAAATTCAACTTAATTTTACTAAAATTTAATCCAGAAAGTACACTAAATCTGCTAAAGATTAATAAGTTGATTTTTAAATGAAAATTGTATTGAAATAAATAAAATTGTACAACAAGATTTCTAATTTGTAAGCTATTCTTTCTTTCTGTCAGCTTAACGAGCATGTTTATTATAAGGAACAACATACGTGATGAAATTTGAATATCGACGTAATAAAAGGGAAGAGTATAGTATTTTATATTTCGTATAGGTTTGGGAGTACGTGGGTACAAGGTGTTTCCAATTTATTACTGAGACGATCATAGGGTGAGAAGTAATTCAACCCGTGACATGTGACGCCTTAAATGATGATTGAAATTCCGTAAACGCGTCAAGTAGCTTCCTAAGAAAGTAAATTACAAATGTCTTTGGAACAAGTTCTACCTACTAATGGACGTCACGCGCGACTTTCGAGATTCTGAAAAAATGCAGTCTAGCTGCTAATGGTTACCGCGAATACACACGCCCAGTCATCTCGTCTTCGTTGTTTCACGTACAGAAAATTCAGAAAGTATAGACCGATAGTAAATCACGACTATACGAAGTTATTATCAGATTTTTTCAAAGAATGTCATGAATTCTAAACGAGCCTTTCGGAATAAGCAATGCAGGGAGATGTTTAATAATATCGATAATATTAAATATGCGCTTCTATTATAATTGTTGATAAGTGAACTTTTTAAGGCAATCTTCTTTTAGAGAAAATGTAGAACGTTGGTAAGAGGCTGCTTTCTGATAAACTCCTACGCGATACTCGCGACTCGCAAGTTAAATCGACCGTGACAACGAGTTATCTTCGATACAGAAGTTTCGTCTTCCCTTTATAGAAGGCGATATTTTAGTCATGCGACGGTGCCTGTATTGACGAAACAGAAAAAGAATTACATAAAGACGAGAAGTAATGCTTCCTACGTAATCACATAAAATCCATGAATGTATGGGCGTCGATTATACATCGAGGGAAAAAATTTCGTATTAATTTCTTCGAAGAAAAACGATTGTTCTTCACGTAGGAGTACAACTACGAAAATGTCTGTAGCTTAGACAGAAATGTCTACACTTATGAAAAACCTATGATTATTTCCTAGATTAAGACTCGATTGAAAAACATTTCATTTTCCAGTGTTCTAGATACGATCTAAATTGAATAAACGCGATCCCTCGAGCAGAAGACGAAAGAAAGTTATGCGTTTGCTTTCATTCCGGAAACGACTAGGGCAATTTCCTTCTTACCAGTGATAATCTTTTTACTGATTTCTCTCGCGACGTAACGCGGAGCTTCTCTTTCGTCTGAGATCCTACGGATTCCGCAAGTATCGCCTTTGAACAGGTGAAAATGCTTCACATGTTTGTTCGTGAGTGCCACTTCGCTCGTTCACAAAGACTGCGAAAAGAATCAACATGAGCAGAACCGATTGGTCCTTGGGTAGGGTGCAGGTTGCATGTTGAAACGTAGAAAAGACGAATAGGAAGCGTATCATTATACCTGCGTGGGTTTTACCTTGCAAGGGATGTTCTATGGGGTGGCCGAGTTATTTAAAGTAGATATGATATGGTTATACAGGTATTAAAAATATCTGAATAAGAATTTTGAAATTGATAGTCTCTATTTATCAAATTTGAAGCTATAGTTAATAGACTACTCAACTATTTACCAAGTAATTCTATGATTTATAGGTAGATTAAATAAATTATGATCAACTGACAACACTCCCTTCCTATTATAATTCACGTTGGAGGTCGAAGACCCGTGAAGAGCGTAAAACATTCTGATGCTACTGTCGGTACCATCAGAAGGATTTTATAGACATCTCAACCCTTAAGTAGAGGAACGTCGAGTAAATATATCGCAACGTGAAAGCCGTGGAGTCTCAGCCACGCGTGATATCGCGATTCCCTGGTGCAACACTCTTGCCTTTTGTCGCGAACAACGAGCCTCCTGTGAGAAGCATTTCCCTCGGCTGTCTGGCTTCGTTCGCGACGATCTCAAGGAGAAAATTCAATTAGCTACGGCAACTAGATCACTCCCGTCGCAGCTGCAATCGGCAGATAACTCTGAAACTTGTATGTCATGCGAAAGGAGCACTCGAGTGCGACTTTCGATTCGCTCATTTATCATAGATGCAACTCGTCATCGTGCCATGACTCGGATCTCTTCCAGGCTTAGAATGTTCCAAATTTTAGAAAATAAAATTATCGTGAATCGCTTATGAGACGTTTAAATTCTCATAAATTACTAAGAAAAATTCAGAAGTCTTGGCTGAAGGAACATTGCACTATAAGAAACAAAAATCCTTTCTATGAGACACAAAAAGATGTTTATATGTATATCGTAGCTGTAATTTGAAATAATATTTTGTATCATATCATGTTACATCATTATACTATTTATGTTAAACTATAACCCCAAATCTAAATAAGATGAATGAAAGATACCAAAATACAAGTTCTTAAGATGCAATACATACATACATGTATTTACAATTCGGAAATTGTCAATCAGTAGGAATTAAGATTCTAATAGTACCTCTGCTAAACTATAGTCCGAGGTCGATATTCAATGAATGAAAATGTTTTTACCAATTCATACAGCAGGAACAAGCTTACCAGGGACGGGAACTCGGTTAGAACGAAGTCAGAGAGCATATCGGAACCACGGTGGTCAGCCACTTTATCCTCGTGCACGCAACAAGCACGTCCAGCACCACGAGCACGCTGCTATGGCATGCATACGCCGCTATGGGAGTTTGGCAGCAGCGGTCCAGGTCGCTGGCTCTCATGGTGTTGCGTTACTTTCCCACAGGCGAGTCTCTTCCTTCGTGTGCAATTCTTTGCAAGCTGCACGACGTACGCCCATCGCGCACCTGCACACGCGCGTACGTGTACCCACACTGTTGGAAAGAACACGTTGACGAATGTACAGGGTTGTATAGGTAGGAGACGAAAATGGTCAGACGGAGAAGGTGGAAGAGAATGAAAGAACGGGAGAAGCACGCATCTCACCTTGCAAGGCGAACCTGTTCGTCGGTACCGAAACCGAATATCGTCTTAAACCGAGTGTTACGACTTGAAAATAATGTTACCCCTGAGGATCTTTAAATTTCAGGCTACGGGACCTGTGGCGGAAGCGAGCCGACAAAGCACCATATTATATGCAGTCGATGTGGAATTCGATTTTGATGGACCAATTTCATCCTTCATTCGTGCAGTTCGAAGAGAAATCTGGGAAGAGAGAAGTATCGATGAGACTTCTCTGAGCTTTGATACTGGAGAAAAAATTCTTGAGAATGGAGAAATGGACGATATATACCTTATATATGTAATGGTGATTTATAGTTAGTGTGTTATACGAATATTTTTAGAAATTTGCGTTTTTAGATTAGATGATCTATTAAGTGGATCACGAAAATCAAGCTTAATTTGTAATTTGTAATACGTTAACATGGAATGAGTAATTGCTTTGAACAGAGAGAATGGTTGATGGGATTTAATGTCAATCCAGCAACGTGGCATCGTCCAGTTTCCGGCCTGCGTGACGGGACTGATTTCCGGGACCGTGCCGTGCTGCATGCATTCAAAGGGACCCCCAACATCAAGTGGACTCTTTCCCCATGGTCATCGACGAGTTCGTGTCCTTTCCCATGGGTGTTGTTTTCTGCATCTGCAACTGTACACTAATCCGATAACGTCATATTGTTTGTTATGGTTTAACACGCGCCGAGATAATTGGGCGAGATCATGATGAAACAAAATTGTTTACTAATCGTGTCCATCGATAATTTTTCTATTCATTGAAAATCCTTGGATTGTTTTTCTGAACGACTTAATTTTTTAATGACTTATCCGAGTAATAAATACTGTAAATACCTAAATTCAACATAATTACGCTTAAGATATAATAAGGAAACAAAGAGAACAGGGAAATTTCCCAAAACTTGTACCAAATATAAAATTAAAAATACATACGTTTAAGAAATTAAAGTACTTTTACGAGATGTTCTTAGGAAGAGTAAGTGTTTCGTATACGAAGTACGAGTAGTCTGTTACGCGAGCATTCTCCTGATGCAAGTAGCGCAAGAAAACCGGAGTAACGGGGCCCAAAAAATTTTAAGTGGATCGAAAGAAGCACCGCGGGATATCTCTCGATTGCATATCCCGCGGCATCCACTATAACAAGATTTGCCGACGGCATCTAGTTCAGGAGATAGTTCTTCGATGAGTTCTTCATTCCCAGGAGTGTTGCTTTCATCGCGAAGCTGTCTGATGCCGCCATTACTTCAAGATCCACTTCAACGAATGTATCGGTTATTTCTGAAAGTAAAGAGGAAGTGTCTCTCAGTTCCAGTTTAAAATTTTATCTTACGAATAAAACATCGAAATATTATAAATTAGAAAGCCTATCGCTACTGGTGCCAATTTTGGAGTACCATAAGATAGTTGACTATCATAAAGTTGAAAAATAGATGAAAGGTTGATTTGCATTTTCTCTATCTTTAATTTCTGAGTTTATTTACTTATATTCTGGGATTGTTTATTCATAGTTCATATTAAAACATATATATATTTTTTGATAACAATGAAAATTTACAGATAGCAGAGAACATACATTAATCAATGACGATTAATCTCCTAAGTGCTCGCCAGTTTAGGCCATCAAGTCAGGTGAAAAAGGAAAAGTTATTCAAGACGGGCGAAACTAGTCCAGTCATACTCCAGGTATTAAATCTCGATATTGCTGCACTTAGTAAACAACCAATTTCCGTTCCTGAGACCACATCTTGTCTTGAAAACGTGTCAAGAAATAATCCATGCCTTTGAAAAATTATGCACAGCGGAAGTATTTGAATTTATTATAAAAGAAAACAGATTACGCTGAAACTATTCGAACGGAATGTTTGCAAGTGACACGAGGAATTCGAGCGTTACGCCAGGCGCGTTTAATTAACGACAAAAGTTTGTAATTACCTACTCTGAATGGTATACACGTTACGTAATAGATTAATTGATCTCGAGTTTATAGGATCGGCAATTCGGGAGTGGTTGTGCACATATAGAACACCTCTTGCATTCTATCCGACCATTGACTTACATTACACGCTTCGTGAACTTTCCGATTTCTTCAGACAGAGTTGACAGAGGGCAACGAGGGGCAACGAACGTGTAAATGGTATAAAGAGACCCCTGACAGATCACGAAATTACTATTATCGTCAAAAAGAAGTTAGCACAGTCGTTGCTACTAAAATAAGACTAACCACCCCTTCGAATTGCGTTCTTTCTTTCATTAATTATTTTTAGTGTCTGTTCCAATACACATATTGCTTTGTACTACTACATTAAATACAAATACAATCAAGCATTCTTAAATTCTTCTTTCACTAAAAATCTTTCTATTTTAAGTAATAATATTTGTTTCAATACGCTGCCTACTGATTTGTCTCTCTAAATTATTTCGTCGAATCGCACAGAAATTAAAGTGAAATAATTAAATCACCAACACTACTCAATAATTAACGCTAAAAATAGCAATAAATATATTACATGTATGTCTACCAGTAAATAGTAACATTTAGTCTTTCCTTGCTTCTTCAATTTTAAGTACTATTTTTAATAATTTTCTCTGTCTGATAAGTGCATCAATGCGTATAGAAATTCGACTTAATCTCTTTGCTTCCCGTGAAGACCAAGGAAGAAATTCGAGGCGCATCTCAGGTTCGACAAATATGATTGATAATACTAAGATGAGGCATACGGTCATGTTCCATTGTTAAGACTTTTTATCTTAAACGTACGTCACGTTTACGCCGCTATACATAGCTCGTTAAATATCATATAACGAATAAGTTATGACTAAGAGACCGACGAGTATGTCATAGGATAAACAATTCTGATCGTCCACTGACAAACATTCGCTGACAATAAGACGCCGCGAGAGTATAAATCGTCTTTCCGCGCGGATCTATCGTAACCGAAGAATCAAAACGTACATCATCCTGTCGTTCGCGAACAGCGCGGCTTTCATCCAAGATGTACTCGTACTATGTAACGACGCACGTGGAAAGTGTAAAATATAGACTCGACAAATTGGAAAAAAGTTGTGACAGAAAAGTTCGTAGAAAGTTCAAAGTTCATATACAACTGTAATTAACACGTATTACGTGGAAATAATTTATGTACTTCAGACGTGTAATATTATAAACTGCTGGTAATATGTATATATCGCCAAACAGAACAGTCATGCGAATGGGAATTAAGTTTATAGATTACATTGATGAATAAGAGTATCGGTACTGATCAGATTTCTCTGTAAATTCCCGAGTTTTGTAAAACGTACAATTTTTAATTAATATTTTTACGTAAAATATGAACTTCGAAATTAAAGTAAAATAAAAATTCTACTGTTTTAAAATCAATATTAATATCATAACTGTTTTTAACCCTTGTAAATCATATTTTATAAAAGAAAATTCCATAAAGAATCACATTTCTACAAATTAATACAGAACATTACCAGACATGAGATGTTATTCTGTATCGCTACTTTTGTTCATCTCCATACATTAACGTGAGCTCTACAAACGATGCTTTGTTTCTTTATTAAACAGGACACGTTGTACCAACGCAAATTTACAAAACGAGGCTTAGAAATAAGGGAGCAGACGTAGCATCGTCGTGTAGCAAACACCACACCCTTTAAAGGGCCGCGCCTTACAAAGGGAGCGGCTCGATCGTTGCACCTTCCACCCTTGCACGCAAACACACGTCGGATCGTTATTCCTGCGTTTTCATGTAACGAAGCCACTTTAGTATGATTACACGTAAAAGCATCGTGATGAAAGAGGAAACGACGCCAGGAACGAATAATGTCTTTTGTGGAACAGCTCGTATATCTTCCTGACAGAATCTAATAAGCGGAGTGACACCAGCGACAACGCGCGAAACTCGAATTTCCTCGTTTCTCCCGTTACGATTCGATCTCGTTGCGATTATCAATCAAACCGTGACTAAACGGCGGAGACGATCCATTAGAAATTAGAAGCGGTACCGTACGAATTGTTTCAATAGGGAAGGTGAACAGTACCATCACTTTCTGTCTCATTAGATTCGCAATTTCTCAGACATTTTTTCACCTTCTTCCGGAAACGAGCCCTCACTTCCGGGTTTACAAGCGCGATTTCGCGACGAACAATGGAGCTTCGATTTGTTCCACAGGGTCTGCCGGTGTATTTCCGGCACTGCAGCAGTGTAACACCTAAATCGCTTCCACTTCCGCCGGATTCTCGCCTACCTAACCGTAACGATGAAAATAAAAATTGCCCGGGAAGCTCCGTGAACTATATTACTCTTCTATCTATAGTCTATTGCCACTAGGTTAATACTAAAGTACAATGCCTTGATTTTAATATTCTTCACATTTTCAAGCATGATCCTCTGCACGCTATCCTGATATACCGCTACGCGCTACGATGATTTAGTCCCGTTAACCATGAACTAAAAATCCACGAATCGTCGCAAGAAACAATCTCAATTACTGAAAATCGTCTCCGCGTCTAAATTCTGCTACCGAGTACTTTTCAGCGTGCACGCAACTGCCTCGCTTGCACAAAGTCCCATATCTTGCCGTGTCAACCATTGCGTTTCGTGTGCATGCGTGTCCACTAACCGCACGCAAAATTGCGTAGACACGCACCGACTACAAATTCTTCTAAATCAGCAAGAACGTAGGAATGGCTGCTTTCGGTTGTATGCAACGAAGATGCAATTAATTAACTCGATATTCGAGTACCGTTACTTCATGCATCATTCGTTACGGGGTTTGCGAAAAGCTACGGGAAATTACACGAGACGATGAACCGGGATTATGATTATTCGCCAAGGGAATTTCAAAACTACTGTTTGAAAATGCAGATCCATTGCAATGCATTGGCACGAGCTGCCCGTGTCACAACACACGTAAACGATTATTGAGTCGCGCGTTTTGTCACGTACATATCTGACATCTGTTTGCTACTACAGGATCCGACGGTATCTCGAAATACTAACACTACGACGACGATCAATAAATCACAGTTCATTTGTTGATCTTCGATCAAAACGAGGCTCGTGCAAGCTACGATAACTGTACACGATAAGTGACAACGGTAAATAAGGTATAGCCGCGCGAAATGATCGTGGATCTATACCGTGTATCATTTAACGATTGCCATGCTGGAAACGAGAATATCGGTGTAATTATATACGCTCATGAATCATACGAATTCGTTTTGAAGCTTTCTAGTATATTTATTAATCGATCGTGGCATACGTGACACGGATTTTTAGAAGAAATAATTCCATACAAGGTATGATAAGGGCATCGACGTTTCCGGCAAGCGAGTCAGCAGAAGTAATTCTTCGCTGCAAATCGAACATTTCCGCGGTATGAGTTGGAGAAACGGGCAATTGGTTCGAGGCCACGAAGTCTTCTTGCAACGAAGTCTTCCTGCAATCTTCGATCAGACAGATCGCGTGTAACTTAGAAAGGTACTCGAGCAGTCATGTGAAACAAATCGATTTAGCTTAATTCATTAGACTTGAATATCTTTGATATGGAGGAATAATATTCAATTAAAAATCCTTAAAAGAATAGTTTTCAAAAGACTCTCGATACGAAATTTTTAAATACATCGTGTGGGAAAATGTTTACGTAATGAAGAAACAGGTGACATAAAGCATTAGCCAAGTGCCAGAATTCTAATCACGGTGAAACCTGTTCCTTTCAACTCTGGGAACTTGCAGCCTGTTTACTAATTTCAGGATATGATGAAGGTGCGATCGAGTTTTCACCACGCTGTGTTATGCATTTCCGGCGCGCACAGTATGTGACCGTGCTAAACGCTCGATACTTTCATTGCTTAAGAATTTCAAATTTCCGGCACGAAATCTCTCGGTTCTCGGACATGATGAAACGATATGTGAGTTTTATTACAGCCAAATCGTTTGACGAGAAACATCCATTTTCTTTCTATGTGGAAAATTGAAAAAATTTCAAATTTCAGTATACATAAAATCGAATAATAAGAATCTTAGGCAGAATAAAGAGATATAAAGCGCAATGAAGAATCTGGAAATCCAAACATCTGGAGCATTATAGGCGTTTCGACACCCATACCTTGCAACTGGTAGTGCGTGACCGTCTCGTGTGACCTCGGCGAACCGAGACGAGGCTCATCGAATTCTGGTCCCAAGTGTTTCCTTAACTAACATTTTAATCCAAATAGTTCCTTTCAATTGATAATACAGAATTTTATTAATTGAAACGAAATCTCAATTAGTTGCCGATTAATCTATTTGTACGTATGGTACTGCAGAGTGCACAGTCGTTCGTCAGGCGATCTGAGATATTGTAGTTTGTCAAATTTAGAGGAAGGCTATGTTATATATTTTGAAATGAAAGTTTATAAAATTCGTGAGTCCATCAGTGGCTATTGTTTAGCATTTTCCATATACGCGAGGAAAAATAGTATACATAAAAACATTTAGTGCGCAAAATTAGTATGGCAGTAAGTTAAATGAATTCCTGATTAAATACAATTATCGGACTATGAGTTCGTACTATGTGAACGGAAAGTAAGGAAGTAGTGGGAGAAATTATTGAACTCCTATTACATGGATTACATTTATAGGAATAAATTACTTGTCGATGAGTTCTATTTTAACCTTCCCTCGGCATAACAAGAATCTTAGATGTTACAGTCAAAACATATTGGACTGGCAAGGTCATTCAGATGAGACTCGTATTTTCATTTCGCATAAGTATAACTCGATTATTCACTTCAAAGGCAGAAAGCGTAATCCTACTCTCTTTACAAGATAATACGAAGTGATGAATGTAATCCTCGGCATTCCTGCGCAAGAAATTCGTTTATACCAATGGCAATTTGCAGATTCATCGCCGGTACTTAAATATTAAATAAAACTTCCTTCGGTATAATTAAGGGGCTAAATTGGTCGTTTAAACGCTGCTCAAAAAATGTTTTTCGACCATGCCCCTAGACGGGGCGAGAGTCCAGTAGCGCACATCTGACGCGAATAACGTGGGAAGCGTCCTTCGCGAATAACGGCCTTCCTGAATTGCGTGAGAGAGGCAAATTAACTCTTCGTTGCATACATATATTCACCGCTTCTATGGTTCTGGTCGCGCGAATTTGCCTTATTTCCACTGGTTTCTAGTCTATTTTCCATCGCATTTTCTTCTACTCTTGCTTTCGAGATCACGCAACTCGAAAGCTTCGCATTCCAGTATTTTCTTCCTCTGTTTCCCCGATACCCTTTATTACGAGACCTCACTTTCACTCGTTTTTATCCATCGAGAAATCTTGCTATCTGACCGGAAGAACGTTAATTTCCTATAAGCTGCAGATCCGTTATTATTTATAAAGTAATTGACGTTACCAATTAGAACCTTGTATTCTAAAATATTCCCTTCTTCTTGCTTTCGGGATCACGCGTCTCGAAAGCTTGCCTGTGTTTAGCGGTCGTCGTTCTTTGGCTCGAGCGTCTGAGAAAGGAAAGCGGCAACCCTCTCTCTCTTTCTTTTTCTTCGTCGAACGACCTATTGTTTCTGCGAGATGGATGGGAACCGCGAATATGCTGCGGATGGTGGTAGTTGTCTTGCGATTATTTTCTTGGTACTAATCTAAGATGCGCTTGTGTGATAAAGAGGAACCACCTGACACGAAGCTGAGTATGTATTTATGCTATATGTATAGCTGAATATGATCTTCGTGTGGAAGTTCATGCGGAACACGGTGAAATCTCTGACTGTTAATTTGCTATCGTCTATAGAGAAGGCCACTTTAATTGTTCACGAGTAATACATCAATAGACTGCGATTCTTTTTATGCAAATTCATGATTTTATGAATGCAATTACACTTCGTCCTCTAAATATTATAACGAGTACTTATCGTGGTTTTTGCATATTTAAATTTCTTACCTATACGTAAATACCCATAGTTTATTTATTAATTGAGTATTAATCGAGTATTTTCAAAGAATCAGGACCTTTGTAATAAATTTCGACATTGAATCTTCTTCGTCTATGTTGATTTCGAATTGAAACAATTCCACGTAAAGAATCAACGAACCACGAGGATCATTTGCATTGGAAATGAAGTCATAAAATCTCGTGCCACTTTCGATGAATTTCGTACACCGTATGTAATATGAATATTTCATGCAAGCGTTAATTAACAAAAATATTTGATCCAGTCATCAGATCCACGAAGAAGATCTCAATAATGGAGCATAAATGTTGTTGATGCTATATCTACAACTTTTCCATTAAGATGCATAATTTCTTTTGATGCTGTATCGATAAATGTCTAGGTTACAGCATTATTTACAAAGTTATTACATGGCAAAATCGATCTTGATCGGTGGTAGTTTTGATCGAAAGTAATCGAAGAGATTCCTCGACGATAGAGTACCTTAGGCACAACTAGTCGGGCTTCCGTTTGAATTCCTGACAAGGTAACGACCAAGAAGGAGCATAATACTTCACGAAGCAACCTCACATGCGACACAATCAACCCGCACACCAGTCAAACGGGACACGCACGATAGAAACACGTGCAGCGCGCACACATGTGCAGGCCGGTTAAACGGGAGAACCGGCAAGACTTCCGTTGCTTGGGGCGTCAGGTTAAAAGGTGTAGGAATTCGATTCGGTGGCATAAAAAGCAACGTCGATGGTGAGCTTCGATCTGCGCAAAGGAGGGAACATATTACACATATTAATACACGAGGGGAAAGGAAGAAAGTCGACGTCGAAGAAATTTAACATTGATTAATGTCGAAATCGTGCTGGTCTTACTTTCCTGATTGTCGACGAAAATCACACGGTCGTGCGCTCTTCTTTTAGAAAGCTAAAGTCCCCTTTGTAGCACGTGAATCAACGGCACATATACGTAAATCGGTAAACAGAAAGCACCTAATTATACGGCTAGCTAATTAAACGATCCCAATGCGGGAATATATCAGTCTCCCATCTCTTTCCGCGAAGAAATCGTCTTTCCGCCTAGTCACCGTACACTCGGGTCGAGGAACAACCTGTATCGTATACACGAGCATTGTACTTACATGCCTGTTTCATGCACACAAGTGTATACTCCACAAGGATGTATAATGTACACGTATGGTCGTACATGTACGATGTATCGTACGTACGGAGGATGTAGTTAAGCGAGTATTATAATATACGCGCGTCGACTGATACTACATCCATCTAGCACGCTGACAAACATAAATTCTATCGTGTGCACGAGCACTAGTGGGTGTCGTTGCTATTGTGCACCAAGACTCGTACGCGGACTAAGATACGCACATGTATGGTCGGACGCGATTCTATTCTCGTGCATTCCGAGCCATGCGGGTAGTATAGGGCTGCACGTTTCCTGTGTACTCACGCCAGTCAGCTCTTTACGCGTACGTAAATGCGTAAGCGCGTGTAGACGTGAACACATGTGCGATGTTGCGGCCGTAAACCGCGTGTTTATTGTCGCACCGACGCGACGTGGCGAGTACATGAGAACCCGATGTCATATTGTACCGCGGTTCGACAAAAGCGGATCGTGATCTGGCATCGGTTTCTTTACTTCCGCTTGCGACACACGCGATGAATTATTATGGTCTGATGTTTCGACAGTTATTACAGCTAATGTGCGATAGAATTTATCACATCATTCGTCTTTTCTTTTCTTGAAAATGTATTATACTGTATACTTTGATATTATATACTTATTGTATATTGTTATATGGATATACTTTGAATTTTCAAATTCTATTTTTGTATCGTTATGATCTCTCAATTGATATTCAATACAGTTTATCTATTGGTTGATCTTATTTAGTCTGTCAATACACCCTCTGACACATTTACAACCAATAATTTCATTGATATACCAAAGTTATAAGTACAAGTTATAAGATTTTGTAATTGAAACGAGAACAAGAATTTGAAGTTTGCTTTCAAATATCTTTAAATCAATATGAAAAATTCTACTTTTCTCAGAGTCACTGATGCAGTTTGTCTACTTAGCCTTATTTTAACTGTGAAGAAACAATAATCTAACACTAATTGTCGTCACTTTCGTTTCTATCTTAATTTTATATCCCTATTCTTTTTCTCTATGTAAAAAGATTGAACTCATATAATAAATAAATGAACATAAAAGCAGTTTATACATTAATAAAGGCGAGATTGAATATCGAACGACAGGCTGTTGAAAAGACGAGATTCAAACACGTAGTGTTACGTCAGAGGCGGTATCGAGCGATCGATCAACCCGTGTTGACCAATAGGATATCGACATGATCGCGCAGGTGCCTGGAAAAACGTGGGTGCCACCATCTCGTGGGTGGTACGAAGGCTAGAAATTCATGATTTTTGCTCACCTTTCGAAAATATAAAGTTTTCGTTGAGTGAGGTCGCCGTCGCCCACGTTATCGCGACCGGTGAACAGCTGCGAGACCTGGCGAATGAAAAGTTGGTTCCTTTCCCGCGTAGGACGACAGCGAGACGTGATTACGGCAACACGTGCAACTCCAACGATCAGATATAGTAAACGAAATAAAAATTCGTTTCGTCTCTGAGGAACAGAATAGACGCGTTATTTAATCGTTGATCCAAACAATCATGACGTCGTCTGGTTGCAATTGAGAAAGATAACTGTACGCGTGTCGTCGATTGTTGCAAATTAATTGAGAACAAGAAACACGATACAGTAAGCACGCATGATTAATTTCATTGCTTCTCTCGTTCTTAGAATCCATCGATCACGATGTCGGTTACGCGATCTGGTGAACAAGGCGTCGATTATCCCAAATCTTTCAGACTAGCGAGTACGTCGTCTTGTTATGTCAGTAGAGCACAAGAAGCCTTTTCAAGCAATCGTAACATCGAACTCTTAATGTGGACATGTAATAAATAATAAAAGATTATAGGCTGAACATTTTCTGATCGAATAAATTGCATGGCCAATTATTGTATGTATTGAGAGATGTTTCTGATAGATAATTTCTTCGTGTCGATCGCAGCAGATACAAAATGCAGACAGTATATTGGAATTACGTTGCATTATTATGCCGAACACGGGTCCCGTGAATGCATGATGGCGCGCCAAGCAAGATCTTGCATCTTTACCTGTCGACCTGTCCATTCTGTTCCTAGGCAGGTCCCGAAAAAAACCTGTTTTGGTCGCAATTGAATGCATTCGTGTCTGCTCTATCAACAACCAATAGAGAATAGGGAATGATGTCATGTTAAACTCCTACCTGTTTTCTGTGAAGATATCTTCATTTAAATGCATAAACATTCTTGCCATTTGTGTATCTTAAGGCTGATCAAGAACGATACTGTTTAGGTACTTTTTGTATCCGTAGAGAAACACGCTTTTTCTTGTAAAAGATCTCAATGAGAGTTATATTCTTTCTTCAAGTTTCAATGCATGTATATATATATATATATATATATATATATATATATATATATATATATATATATATATATATATATATATATATATATATATATATATATATATATATATATATATATATATATATATATATATATATATATATATATATATATATATATATATATATATATATATATATATATATATATATATATATATATATATATATATATATATATATATATATATATATATATATATATATATATATATATATATATATATATATATATATATATATATATATATATATATATATATATATATATATATATATATATATATATATATATATATATATATATATATATATATATATATATATATATATATATATATATATATATATATATATATATATATATATATATATATATATATATATATATATATATATATATATATATATATATATATATATATATATATATATATATATATATATATATATATATATATATATATGTTTAACAAGTGTAGTTGATCCTCTGTAAAACACGTATAATATACAATTCATTGTATCGAAAAGGAAATATTTCGTAGTAAAGGAATACATACATTTCTGCATCAATAACTGAATTTCCATTTTACATCGACAACAGCGCCAACTCGACTGGTTCGGCGATTCAAAGGATGAATCATTGCTTGAAATGCAGGAATCTTACTTTCCTAAGCGTTGCCGGCAGTATAGTAATCGTGGCGCCACATTGTGGACAAAGACAGTAACGCAGGTTGTATCTGGATGACTCGTAGCAGGGGAAAATGTCTCGCAGGTATCTGGTTTGACGAACCACGATGCGTGCGTGGTGCATGTGTGTGCGTATCGTGTGAATTTTCGCAGGTGGTGATTTTTCGTGCAGAACGAATATCCGAGATCTGCCGGTGGACGGACGCTAATCGAAACAAGGAGACGCGAGTTCGAGGCGCCGTGATCGCGGGGCGTATCCCAAAATCGTGGCGGAGAAACGGTCCTGCTTTCGTCCAGTAAACTTCGTCGTGCTACGTGCGTCGTGTTTTGTCGTGTTCCGTGAGAAAATCGTAATTCTGTAAAAAAGAAAGTGCGAGTGAGAACAAATCGAAGGGGTTAAATATCAGCTAATCAAGGGAAATTGATTTGACATGACGACCACCGAGCTGACTCACCTTCCTGAACGATGTCGAATCACTTTGTAACGAATTTTGAAAAATTCTATTTTTAAACAATAGTCAGTTAAACAATAATCTTCAAACAGCAACCAAAAAATCTTATTTATTATCATCAAACGTCTCACTGTGAATCACTGCCAATGTGTAACTCAGCCGACGATTCTTACGTACAAAAGCTAGGTTATCTGCAACTCGGGGATGAATCCACTGACGCCGGTGGTGCCGGGTCGGGTACCGGCAGGGTCACGGGATCACGACCTGAGGCTCAGGTACCCGTGTCGAGGAATGTCATAAGCAGAACAGATGCCAGAGGACCTGGTAGACCAGTTGGTGCTATTGAAAGTTTCATTGAGAGCAATGCTGACACTTGCAGGCAGTCAGCAGCTGATTACAAGCTATATGAACGTGAAAATATAATAGCTGCATCAAGATTTCCCACACCAAAACCAGTAGAGCAAATCAGTGCACAGCAGCAACAAAATCAAAACCGTATGAGTCATCAGCAAGCACCAGTATATGAAAATATTGACTATTATCCGCAACAAAATCAACCTCATCCTCCATATTATCATCCAGTGGAATCTAGGAAGAGCCCTAAGAGTAGTCCTAGGGGATCTTTAGCAGGTGAATCCTATGAACCTACATTTAGAAAAGCACAACCACAGGTTCCTACTGGGAATCGATATCAATCTGCATCACCAGCAAAAGAATTACCTCCATATGAGGCACCTCCTGTATATGAAAATATTCAGGAGGTGCATTTCCCAGAAAACACACAAAATAAACCAGGCCCTCAGGTTCCACCAAATTATTATCACCCAGCAACAATTAATGGCGGTGATTATGTTGTTATGACAGGAAAAGTGGGCCAAGCACAAAATCAAAGAGGTATGACACAAAATTTATCATACACACAACAAAGAGGAAGCAATATACGTGGTCAAAGTTATGATGGCTCTAGTTTACAACGCTGTGTTGATTCATCCACATCAAGGTACTTACAAGGATCTTCTTCATCTTTAGATCATCAAGCTGGTAGAAGTGCTTATGTTCCACCATCTGAACTACAAACACCAACCCGAAATTTTAATTATAATTCTGAGCAACAACAACAACATTCTCCCAGATCTGGACTTCCTTATCATAGTGAGTCACCACCGATACGCTTACCTCCAGAGCCACATCATTATCGTGGATCTGTGGATAGTTCAATGAGTGGACAGCATGGATTTAGAGCTTCAAATCATATAGAAACTGTACAACAGTCTCAATACCGCCAGGATAGTCCCCAAAGTTACAAATCTTACATAGAATCACCCGCAAGAAGTACAAATACAAATATTACTGGAGAGACTCAGGCCAGAAACTCACCTGTCTATGGTGCGAGACAAGGAGAGCAATCTGCTTGCCGCAATTCTCCCTGTTATTCTCCAAGTAGAATGTTACCATCAAATGAGAGAAACTATCATCATCAAGAACCTAGATCAGAATTTCCTGTCAGAAATTCTCCAATATATTCATCGAACAGATCATCAGAACACTTAAGATTAAGTAATTTACAGAATGATAGAAGTTTTGTTCAGGATACAACTGATCCTTCTGATACATCAAAACCATCACCTATGTATTCACCTAGCCGTAGTGATTCTTCCAGAACCGTAGCCAATAATAATAGTACAAGAGGTTCTCCAAAAGTAAGTCCAACTCACAACCAGGTATCGTCCGATACAGTCGCGCAAAATGTGGTTAATTCGCCAAGACACGTGTCACCATCTTCCGCAAGCAATATTATCGGAAGTCCTCTACGTGGTCAGGTACAAACACCAGTGACCACTGGTGCACCAAACATCGCAGAATCTGATCCAAATGTTCATGGGCCTAGAATCACCAGTCTCCCTCCAGGGGTGACCAGTGGTGTAGCCGGCCCAGTCTTTTTAAATGCCGGTGTACCTGTATTGCAAAGGCCACCCGAACCTGAACTTGAAGAAAGAAAGTCAGTCAGTCCACCGATCAAACCGACATCCGGCAAGGGACTACTACCCTACAATGTTATACCACCTAGACCTTCCGTAAGGAACTGGCTTATACAATTAAAAAAAGATGCATTAACCATTAGCGTTTAATTCTATTTTGTGCTTTTTTCTCTTTGTAAAACCTGTTCACAATGTAACGCTGTAATCGCACGTTAATTGGGTTACGGGAACGCATCGTTGCTTTCGATTTGTTTTGGATGAATGCCAAGTATGCTGATCCATTTGCATGCTGATTTCATATAAAAGGTATGACTACTAACACTAACGATTATACAATTTATCGTGATGATTTTTTATAGAAATTGACCATGAAGAATAATAAACTGTGAATTTTTTGTTATGCTTTTTATAATCGATGCTTGTTAGGATACAAAAAAGCTGGTGATGATTTTATTTAAGCGATGATGTCACAAATGTCAGTTATTATCGCTGATATTTTATATAATGGCTGACCTGTGTAACGATAAGATTAGCAATTTACTTAGATGCAAATGTTATTTCCAATAGTCCGATAAATATTTCCTCCTATTTACTAAGAAAATATATCGGGACGACATCGACTTCAACAATTTTCAATATTGCGTGAAAAAAAACGCGTATCGCTCGCAATACCTTATGATTCGTGACGAGTTTTTTCTTCGAACTCGCGCTGAATCACACGTTGTAAATCGTCAGCTCCTGACAAGCGCTGTATAGTTACTGTGCAATATTTTATTCATACAAGATGCGTACGCATCCTCTCTAAGCATGTAATATACCCTCTGTGTCTCGAACTTTTCTCTTTTTTGTCACGAACGTTATTGTATCCGCATGCAAATTTATGTGTCCCTGTGACGAAATCCCATCCCAATCTATGACACCATTTGTCAGTACCGATCACAACGCAGAATGTGATTTATTTCTTGTAGGGACCCACCGAAGCAGAGAGGAAAATAGAAGAATTGACAAGACAACTCGAAGAGGAGATGGAGAAGCAAGAAGAAGAAGGGGAATACTTTGGTAAGAAACAACGATCGAACGGTGCTCGTAAAACAGTCGTCGAGCATTCAGGAGGATATTTTTTATTCTGTAAATTTGTCTATGCAATAGCTCCCCATTGTAAGATTTTAATTGGCACAATGTTTACATAGTTTTACCGTACCAAATTCTGTTTTCCTAACAATGTTTGTATAATATTTTTAAACAGATTGAGATGTGACAATTTGGCATAATTCCGTCATTAGAGGAGTTAATTTCCGACACGTTCCGATCCATAATTTGCACCGATTCTGAGAACGAATAAAAAGCAGCAGGGTACCGTGCCAATTCCCACGGCACAAGTTCCCCCTTGGTAGACCGGTTTTGGAAAATGGAGTCAAGTTTCAGTGTGTCGCGAAACTTTTTAACCCGGCGTTTCGTTGACATTCACTCTCTGCCCATTCGTTTCCACCTACGTGTCTTCGCACCTACGTGAAGCATCACAAGTGTGCGTATTACATGCATTTGTTAGGTGAACGCAGACATACACTATCTCTTCCTTGTATTGCACGTGTATGTCCGAACACTGTAAGGTGGTATTCACATTGGACACTTTCTTCGACGTCTATTGTGTTTTGTAATTAAGTATTCGCTGTTTCGATGAAGATTACTTCACAGACAGGAAGGAAGAAGCTTCGAAGAATAGGCGTCCAAAAATATCGATGAAGTACAATTGGACAAGAGACTTGTAGTGTCATTTTATTCTAGTTCAAAGTTCCAAATGTGTAAGATATTTATGTTAGAAATCTAACATCATGTTTGTCACTGTAATAGTTTTGTAAATGACCGGTGCGGTTACACAACTATGAAACACTTATCAATGCAGATAAATACGCATTCGATGCAAATAGCTTTCAGGCATGTCTATATTTGGCTGCGCATTTTTTTTAAAACCAGTATTTTCCAATAATTCATACGATAATGATGTTGTAGATTTTATTTAAACGCAGCCTAACCGTAGTCAAAGAGGAACTGAAAAATCCGTGCGCGCGGATAGGAACTTCAGTTGAGCAAGCCAATCTCAGCCGAGAGGTAGCTGGCGTTTAGGTGAGCTTAGTTTGTTTCTCTTCGTTTTTGTGTACGAGTTCTATTCTTCGTGTAACGTCCTGTACACGGCAAACTGCCGTGGCCAGGTCGCGCTCGCCGCGGTAAGTAATCTCGTTATAGATAGACTAGTCCGACTCGTTGGTGGATTCTAGTTCGAGCGAGACTGGCCTAGTGAAACTGAACCATTGAATCGAAACTACAAGTGTCACTAACGGCGAATGAGGGATAAAGGATTCCTGTGAAGGGAATGGCAGGGCCTGTGTTACCTATTGATAGTTGTGAGTTTCTTCCGTAGTTCCTCTGGATCGTGTCATTAGTCCGTATTTCTTCTGACAGTTATTGACCCTGAAGAGCGGATCTTATTGTCGAGTATCGACGAGGGTATTTTTAAACTTTGCCCAAAGCGACTAAACTATAGAGTTATGGTTGACAAGGCATTTTCATGACTTTAAAAATAGTTCCAAATGTTTGACACTAGTGCTATGAAAAAAATTTATTTTTTAAATGTATTCTGTTGCAATATTATAAAGGATACGTTGATGCTTTTCGACAGGTATTTGTCACACATGCGGTGAAAAAGTAACGGGGGCGGGTCAGGCCTGCCAAGCTATGGGCAACCTTTATCACACAAATTGTTTCATATGCTGTTCCTGTGGAAGAGCGTTACGCGGTAAAGCGTTCTATAATGTCCACGGAAGAGTATACTGCGAGGAAGATTATCTGGTACGTAAGACAATAATTGCAATAGACGAGTGATACGATGACGTAGCTCATAGAAGATTTTGTCTGTAGTACTCTGGTTTCCAACAAACTGCTGAGAAGTGCGCAATCTGTGGTCACCTCATTATGGAAATGGTAATTAAATCGATAATGATAAAACGATTTACGTTGAGGTTTTAATTTATTCTATATTTTCTTACTTGTAGATATTACAAGCTATGGGGAAATCCTACCATCCAGGATGCTTTAGATGTTGTGTTTGTAACGAATGTCTTGATGGTGTTCCCTTCACGGTTGACGTTGACAATAAAATTTACTGTGTTAACGATTACCATAGGATGTTCGCGCCAAAGTGTGCTTCCTGTGGAAAGGGAATCACTCCAGTTGAGGTAAGTAGTTATATTTTCAAATGAGTGATTTTTGTAAAAATAACAGATATAACTTTGATTAATACGTTTTATTTCTCAGGGTACAGAGGAAACCGTAAGAGTTGTTTCCATGGACAAAGATTTCCATGTAGATTGTTACGTTTGCGAGGATTGTGGTATGCAACTGACCGACGAACCGGACAAACGATGCTACCCACTCGATGGTAGGCTTATGTGTCGTGCGTGCCACATCCAACGCATATCCCACACGCAACCCAGAGCTCCACAGCCAGTATCAGCTAGTTATCAATTTATGGGATAAGTTAAATATATTAAGTTGAATGTTTAAAATTCAATTGCATATCGGTCATCCGGTAATGAACATCGTTAAGAACTGACTGAACAAATCGATCTATTATTAACGTAAAGCTTACACGTGTCTATCCTCTACGAAATAGAAATTTATAGAAAAAATACAGTTATCGATATTTACAATATAATTAATCAATGTTTACAGAAGTAATACAGCTTTATTGTTCCTCTAAAATGTGAGAGGTTTGACGTGATCTAGCAAGACTGGATATTTGCAAAATCGAAATATCTACACTGCCTTTTGGGATCATCTAGAATCTAGATTATATAGTCAGGGCGACGTTTGATCTTTTTTTAGCAATGTATATTATTCCGTTTTTATGAGAAATAATTTCCCATTGACAGCTATTAATATAGGTTAGTAGTATATTTAATATATGTGGTCTTATTTATTTTATCCAAGATATACGCGAATACAGTGGTCTCGTTAGGACGAACGAGTTGCGCAGGCAACTGTGATATATTAGCATAATAACTACATTGTTGTTAAGTAATGATTCCTTATTTTAGTTCATGTATATATGTTTGATATATAATTATGTATATTAATATTATATTACTATACATTATACAGGGTGGTTGGTAACTGCTGGTACAAGCGGGAAGGGAGTGATTATACGAAAAAAGAGGTCGAAAATATAGAATAAAACTCTTTTTTAAAATTTTTTTTTTTTAATTTTTCCATTGAGACAACGATCTACAGTGAGATTCGTTATAACGTACCGCACGCGTACCGAGCGAAAATTCAAAGTCGATTTTCTCGAAAACGAAAAATTTTTATTCTATATTTTCGACTTCTTTTTTCGCGTAGAATCACCCCCTTTCCGCTTGTACTACCAGTTACCAACCACCCTGTATATAATATGAGAACAATCCTGCTGTCAATGTATATCGACTTTCTTATGATTAATAATTCTGGGCGCATCTCGACGTGGTGATTTATGATGATTATAGTGTATTATTACTGTACTTGACGTATCGCGTTTGCTAACAGTATTTATTATGACAATACACCATATATTGGTTACTAGTATCAAAACTTCATACAAGACTCTTGACTTTCGTGTATATTACTCAGGAATTTTAATACGATCGTGACAACCTCATCGTTGGAAAATTATGTGAATGTTAATGTTCAAATCAATGAATGATACTAAATAAGGTTCGGTGCATTGAAGACGAATAATTTTAGTTTACTACAATGCACAATTTGTGCTGCCAAAAAAGCTTCCCTATATCTGACTAATTAATCAATATTTCTGCGTGTAAATAAGGTAGGCTGAAGATAAACTACGAGTATTGTAGGTGAAAAGTACAATGTTATTTAAGTATATGTGCGGTATATAAGACAAAACGTCTGTTCAATAAAGGAGGGTATATCTGAGCATCTGTAATTTGTGTCAATTAATTTTTTTAAAGATTTCAAGGTGGGTTAGGTATATGTAGCAGTTCTTTCATATAATATTACATATAAGATTTTTTTCTTTCATCGTAACACAATAACGTTTACACATTTACAAGTGATAATATACATCCTTTTCATCAATCAGGCTTTTAGATTGAATCTCTTATCCAGGTGATCAATTAACTTTGTCCCATATGTTTTTGCTATGTTTTTGGAGGTTCTGTTTGTCGTTCTATTTTGAATCCTGCTTTTGGAGTCATTGTTGTTGTCGTTTTACTTGATTCTGCTGTCTATAACATAGAAAAAATTATATAGAACATATTATAAATTTGAGGACAGCACACTAGAAACCTAAGAAAGCGAATTAAGAAAAAACTAAACATTCAGAGAATTCTGAATTCAGTAGAAAATAGACCTACACACAGTATCATATGCAGACTACATCAAGAAGGCATGTAACAAATAATATAGTAGTCAGTTTTAGTTAAATGTCTTTACAGTTTACTATCAAGTAAAGGAATAATTTAGTGTAGAAATACCTTGTATACCATTTGTGATTGTTTACCAAATGACAAAGGTTTTACTATCCCTGACTTGCTAAGCTGTCTAATAGCCATTGTTGTGCATCCTATACATTATATACACATATATATATATCATTAATTTTTCATATGATCAACAATTTTGAGAATTGTTTTTGTTTAATTACCTATAGTGACAGTATATCTAAGAGGCGTAAATATTTTATAAAGGAGATATGCTAAGGCCCAGTTTCCAACAGTAGAATCTTTTACTTTGTCTATATACTTCTTACTAAAATGCATAAGCTCCATGAGGTGTGCAATATCCACTCCACTGAAAGAATAGACATTGCAAAGTATTGTGATCACATGTAATTTTATATGTAATTTATTATATACTATTTGACAGTGTTTACTTTTTGATTGTTACATAGAATGTGACAATCCATCCTATAGAGGTAACTATATGAACTGGCACTAAAATATGCCAATAATCCTTGGTCATTTGTTTCATTTTCGCGAACACTGAAAGTTTTTTCATCGGTTCTATTTTCGGGGCATCTCCTTTATTAGCATTCAAGTTACAATAACGCATGACCAGGATATCCTTACCGAATTTATGCCTATATGGCATTTCGTATGTTTTGATACGATTGAGAAACGGGACATAATTGCACGACAAGTTTCTGTAATGTGGATGCCTTTCTGAAATCGACAACGTCGCGATTGTAATTGTAAACCATTGGTAAAGTAATCTTACGCGTTAACCTACCGAAAAATTTCAATCTCCAACGTCTTGAATCGGTATATCGTGTAAGACGTGTTGTCTCTAAGAAATTTTTTGTCATCAATATGGGACTAAATCCTAAAGTAGTTGCGAACCTTACGCCCCGGCAAAAAGACACATCCATTTTCGAAAAAGCGATTGTGGCTATTTCTAACCAAGAAACTGTGCTTTCAAGTTGTACTGTGAGATAGTTACAGTTCCGAGTTTGTCGAGTTGTACGTCTTGGACAGGTAAATTGGACAGAACTTACCGAAAGATTATTTAGTTCAGCCGGCGTTGGCCTACGTAATGTTCGTAAAAATTACGTAAATATAGTAACAAAAACTCACATGTTTTTCGTATCGTTTACTGTAAAAGACTAGTTTGATAATCGAAACGTAACGAATGACAGCAGAGACATCTATCGAATTCTTTATCGTTAATATGCATATAGGCGGATGCTATATCTAAAAAGATATTTTGGTAGGAAACTTCATAGACAGTTGTCGGTTATTATTTTTAAACTAACAACATAAAACAACAAGATCATTTTAAACATAGTTACAAATAAATTTAATGTAAAATACTAGTGGTACAATATGTAGATAAATGTGATACTTTTTTTGGCATCAATTGCATAGTACAGTTACAAGATACATGTAAATGTCTTATTATGCAGTTGTTCAAAGGTTTCATAAAGTATTTACATAATTTCTAATTTGTGTTATATATACAGCGATAGATTATCTTATCTTTTTGCTATTAACATATTGAGATTCGCGTACTAATCAAAGCCAGTGGGAGGAATAACTGTGAAGTGATTTTTCGAGCGCCATTTTGGTACCAGTGAAAAAATAACGCTGAAATAAATTCAAGAAGGTCTATAGTTGTGATGTATTATTAGTATATTTCGCAACTAATATTCTATAGAATCTAGTCTCTTCTTATTTTTACCTGTGTCATCGCGATTTGTGATCCAACCAACAACAGGTTCCATTTCATTTTGTCGTTTTAGCCATTTATTTAGGGGCTCGAAATATCTTAATATAGCATTAGCATCCATCCTGTTTGTCCTACCTCTTGTCATTTGTCGTACCACATCTTTCCAAGATCTGGACGAACCAATTGATAGCACATCGCTAAAAAAATAAGAAATGAAGAGGGAATATATTTTCTTTACTTTTTTTCTATTATAATTTGTTTACACATACGATAATAATCTCCCAGCTTCTCTTGATCTATAAAAATCACAAGTATGTAAATCACCAGTGTGGCCTGCTATTTCACATAAAGATTCGAACAATTGAAATTGCAAGACAACACCAACAAAATATCTAAAAATAAGATCATGTAAATATTAGAATTTATTAAATTGGTATATTATTATCTATTATTTAATAAATAAATTTAATAAAAAATTTCTAATTTCTTAAATTAATTTTTTTAATTTATAATTTAATAATAATAATAGCTCTTTTATACTTGGCATAAAGAGCGTCAGCTGGGATATGATACTTCGATCCAGGATCAAAATCTCTTTCGGATCGTGGTACTGGAGGCACGATTCCTTGATACTGCAATCTTAATTCCCACCATTTATTTGTCATATCCGTAACACCCTCGTTGAATACACGCCACCTCCACTTTTAACATAAAAGGACAGAGATGTATTCACAGTTTCAAAAAGACATCGCGCTTGCAAATAAAATATTGTAAAACCTCATCAACTATGTACGCAAATGGCATGTAGGCAACTTTACGAAGGGCCATTAGCATCAAGAAATTGATATCGCTTCCATAATCATCCGTAGAATTGTCATGTAATTCGAGTTTACTTAAATGTTGAGGGGTGAACACGGAAAGTTCAATGGCGTCACTGACTGCTTCGAAAAATCCTAATTTACACAGGATTGGTATTTACTGAATCATTCAACTTTTATTATCACAATGATAATTCTTTCTGTCACCTGGAATTGCCTCGTTTCGAAATAATAATGGTTGATCGCTATATTGTAAGAAGTATTGCAATCGAGCGATCTCATGGTGTGTTGATAGTAAATCTTCCATCGTAACCCTCGTACACTGCTTAATGCTATAAAATTAATCGATTAAATACATTAAATCATGCTTTATCGACAATGATAAGTACCTGTAATTCATCCTATTGCAAAAATCCCAAGCACTGGGAGTACACTTGACTTCCCTGTCGATAGGTTTCTCAAACATCGAAAATCTCCAGAATTCAGGTGGCATTGGCTTCATTCCAAGAGAAGTAAAGAATTCCTCTGCTATTTGGAACATCCTGGAATATTTTCTTTGTTAATATCGTAATATATCAATTAATATTACATTTAAGCATTACTATCGTAATATTACCTTAAAGGTGTGAATCTTCGAATCATCATTTCCAAAGTGACGTCTAATTTTTTACTTGCTGGAAATGGCTGTACTAGGTCGAAAAGATCTTCCCAATTTTGTGCCCACATATTTCCTAAAATATGCGCCGGAATTGGTCCATCCCTTCTTATTTTATCGCCGTATCTTTCGAATAATTTCGTTCTTACATAAGTAAAGAGATTTTTGTACAAATGCATGATCGCTGACATTACGTCTGCTGTGTTCTGTCGAAAGTATTCATCTTCGAACAATTCTCTCATTTGATCACCTGCATCCTCAAATCCTATCGGAAGATACTTTTAAAATATGGATTCTTTTCTAAGAAAATTTTCAATGCAATTACATATGATTTTATTCACCATTTAGTCTAGCAGCTTGATTTGCTAGTTGAATGTATCTCATATATTTATTTTTAAGTTGAGGTCCAGTAGCTTCATGCCAAGCATGCCAATAATATAATAATTCATCATAGTCCTTAGATTTTGCCATTATTTTATTCACATCTAAGAAATATGCATTTATTTATTTGATATTCACAATTTGTTGATTATTACATGGACGAGTAAACTAACCATGGTCTAAATTCAGGTCACAATTTGCTCCTATAGTTCTATAAGGACACACCCTTGTTCGCACATATATTTCCTTCATTTCGAGAATCAGACTGTGCAACTGAAAATCAGTAATATTTCCGTCGTTTTGAGTTTTCACGAGATAATATTTTAATATTTACCTCATTAAATTTGTCATCTGTCAAAGAATTTCGTCCCCTGATAGCGATCATCTTGAGTTCCCTTTTAGCGAAGGGATCTCCTATTCGACTCCAAGCGAAACTGACAGCCTTGCGCCACGAAATTCGGTCAAATTTCAACTTCAAAGTCTGTTCTTCTATCTGATAAGGCAAAAATAATGAAATTTCTGACAAATTATTTCTGACAATTGAATATTTTTAGAAAAGATTTTTTTAGGGAGATCTATGTACCATTCTTCGACGATTTTCTTCAGTGACATTTGTTGCAAAATTCCATTGCGCTGTCATCACTCTCGTGCACATTGCAGAAGCTTCACTATCATATTCTCGAAGAAATTGTACAGCATCCCCTAAATTCACGTTCATACCCTAAATTCAATTTAAAATGAGATGAAACAAAACTTTAATATATACATCGAAGCAAAATCATGTTCTTTCTTCTGTAACCAAACTGCAGTACAATAAAATTTGCAATGCTACTTCATACTTTTAACCGTGAAAATGGTTACAAAGAACATTCCTACTGACCCAGATAGCGTGATCATATGATTCAAGGCCTAATTAGAATTTTAAATGCAGCTTTGATCTAATATTCCCCAGGGGATAACAAGTCTCCCTCCAACCGTGTCAAGTAGGCTTCTATCAAAGTGTATCATCGCCAAAATACCGTTAATGTGATTTATAAACAACAATGAAGTAGAAAACACCGAAATCATAATTCATTTCCTTACCTCTAAATATTTGCTACAGCTTCTCTGCATAAGAGAACAAATAATCATTATACCAATCAATTTCCTCAGAATCCTCATTTTTGTCATAGTTAAAGTGGAGCCAAAAATAAGACAAATAAAGTGCAGGTGTCGTTGATCTCTTTCGAAATCGTTTTTCATTCTCACGGGAAATAAAATGCAGTTAGAAAGTCAGGATGTTGATCAATCGGCTCTTCATGCACCACTGAGCATATTATTCTTGCCATTTCACTGTCTGCCTTCTATGTTTCAAAAAAATGTCTTTTACACGATACTAATAAAAATGAAAAATTCTTTTTCACGATGATTCATTGACACAACTAGCGTGATCTTTCACTTCCTTTTATGATTGAAACACTGTTAGAAACTTTCGATTCCATTGCAAAACGCAATCTTCGATACCATCGTCCCACAGAAGGAAAGTTTATTAGGTTCGATAAAGAGGCTTTTGAAGTTTTTAATAAGGAATTACGTAAATTATTTGCGAGAAGAATTTCGATTAGTACTGTTTGCCAATTAGCAGTTGATCGAACATTCGGTACGTTGATGTTGTCGTCGCAAAACTGAATCACCACAGAAAGAGAGACAGGTCTTCCGGACGGATATTCCACGGGCGAAAAGAGGAAGGGACAGGCATCGTCGGTGCGTGAAGCGTGACCACCCAACATACCGTAGCACACGCCAAAATCCTCCTATCTTCAACCCGATTCATATTTCTTAATGCATTTACAAGAATGCATGAATACAGCTTAGAATGAACGGAGGAGTCGAAGATTTTTCTTTTTATGGGACAGAGTTCCCAATTTCTCTTTTCAGTCAAATTTTTTTTTTGTGTCGTACAATTTACATTTACAGTAACACTATCGAAAAATTTATAAATCCACTTTGCATCCCATAGTTGGAAAACAAATTTTAATAATAAAGTTCTCGTTTTATTTGAAAATCACTTACCCTGTTGAAAGTCACATATATTTTTCGTAAAAAATTTTAAAAATGTGCTGTCTTTGAAATTAGAAAATTGGTTACTTTAAAATATAAAGGTTGAGTGTAAATTTATCGGACTTGAAACGATTTAAAAAATTAGTTATTAAAAATTGCCGAACGATGTTTTCGGTTCGTTCAGTATCTAAAAAATTTTTTTCAAACAATTTGTTTTATGGAAAGTACTGGTGTCATTGAAAGTGGATGATCGTTCCAGGTTTCCTTCGTCTTCTAAACAAGCACCGTAACTCCAATTATCCGGTGGCGTAACCAGTGACTATATGGGACCGCCGTAATTTTTTTACAGATATAATTGCATCCACGTCTCCTAGCGAAGACTTCTGCGTTTGACCAGTGGAAACAATTTTAAGGTCCTCGAGCAAGGTGATGGGAAAAGTAGGTAAAGATTTTAAAAAGTTATTGGGTATTTCGTGTCCGATATCTTCTTCTCTCTTGTACTAAAGTAATATATCAAATCAATAGATGAATCCCAAATTAGATAAAATTGTACCGTGACTTACTGTCTTTGCCTGGCTTCTTCGTCCATACGAGATTTCTTTCTGATCTGAGACTGTTTTCTATACTCCTCAAATATTATCTTCTCGATATTCCTACGTCTCTGCAGTAATTTATAAGTTTTGTCTAATTCCCCGCATTCTACTTGTATGTGGACAAATTCTAAAATATCTGGTGCCTAAAGATAATATCTTTTCTTACAAGCAATCTCATTAATCTACTTATTTTATCATAGAATCTTATCAATGAACAAAAGTAAACATTTACGACATGATTATCCATGAAATTCAATAAATTTTGCAATTTCCTGTTCTGCCGTTTCACTTTAACCTCAACGACCCGCTGCTCGATCTTTAACTCGTTAATCTGATCCTGTTTCGTTATAATTTCGCTCTTCACCTCGTTCAATTTACGCAACAGATCTCCCAGTTTCTGCTTGTGTTGCGTCAGTTTCAGATGGTAGTACCCTGTTACGAATACAATGTACAGACCTAATCTTGTACAAGATCTTACACTCGTTCAAGATCGATCACCTGCGATTCTCTTCATATCTATCACGTACAAGTTCTTTTCTTCGAGCATCTTTGCGTAATCCTGGTTCTCGATGTTTAATTTCTCGAAGTCAACGGCGTGAAGTAACTCGCCTAGTTCCTTCCTCTGAGCAAGCTGCTGTCTAGCCTTTCTGATCAGCATTCTCAATGTAGCGCTCTTCAATCTTAGCCTCTCTAGTATCGTGTTCGCCGATCTCAGCCATTCTTCGATGAATCTTCGCGAGAAGTCGCGCGTGAAAAATGCATTCACAATACGGCGGTACACTCTGAAACACGTGCAATCACCTGATCACTCGTTCGGCAGGAATCTTCCCTGTTATAGAGTCCACGCCCTCTACAACCACTTCCGATTCGAACTCTGCCGTCGATTCATGCGCCTCGCTGATCCGAATTTCGATTTCCTCGATCTTTGCCCTCATGGTTGCTTTCTTCTTTCGCACGAACACTTGTATCTGTTCCAGTTTCCGTTTCATCTCCTCCACTTCCTTTCTTGCCATAAACATCCGATGTGCTATTGTGATTCTGATAGGATGAAAGTGTGGTTCGATAAAGAATTTTTATGATGTTTAAGGCATTCGAGACCGGAGTAGTTTGATAAGATTGTTCAAAGCGGCCGAGTGGTTTCTGCAGTTATAGTTAATTCTAGTAGTGAAACATTCATCTTTTATTTGATTTTAGAACCGATGGATAGTTTATACTTTGGACACTTTATTCCACAATTAATTTTTTAATGACCATTTTAGTTGCAATCCGAGAATTGGCTGATAACTAAATCTTTATAAATTCCACAATTCATTTTTCGGTGATTTTTTTTACTTGAAATCTAAGGATTTATCGATAACATAAATATCTTTGCAGATCTTCTACTTTACAATTAATTTTCCAATGACATTTTTCAGATGGTCCTGAAATTTTTTAGATAACCCGGACATTGAGTACTCATGATTATATATATACAGATCACCGGCCTCGAATGAATTTACTTGATATTCTGACTTCGGGCTATCGCCTGTAGTTCCCACTGTCATGATGCTTGTTGCTCCTAATCGACTTACGGACGGCATGCTGACAATGCTAGGTGTACTAACAACACTATATCTGCCAGGGTCATGGACATTTATTACGCTTTCTCGGAAGCTCATACGCGATGATCTTGGTAATAAGTGTGCTGTAACTCTTCTTGTGATTTTTGCTCTGTCCAGGACATTCTTGATGGCTTGATAAGAATTTTGGACGATAGATAAATTTTCTTTATGAACTCAATTTGAAATTCAGTTTAAATTAACAAAGATTTATAGAGATACTACTCTTTACTTTTGAGACCGTGAGGATCTTGTCGGCTCAGGTACCGCTCATACATGTCATTTTCTAGGGTCAACATCCAGATTTCTTGCAAGAGGTCACTGTGCGTTTGATGCAAGTCATCAAGATTCATAACTATAATCGAAGATTAAGAGAGTTGTAATCGTTCAGATTAAAAGTGGAGAACGTTGGTTGACATGCACCATCGAAACTTATGTCATCGTCGTGTCTCTGGATCATTCGGGATCCGATACTGAATATACTCTCCCGCATCGACATTGTGATCAACAATTCATTTATTAAATAAATAACAAGAATGTAGGATGAGGATTAGGTTAGAATTTTTCTCTTCCTTTCGTGGCCTGAATCGAACTCAAGAAGAAGATTTTTTTTTCTTTTGCTATGTTCAAACGTTTCATTGTAAAATTTGAATACAGTGATTTTAATGCACGGTGATTCGTATGTACAAAGTGTAACCAACTTCTGTGGTACGTGAAACAACAAAAACATAGTGTAGAAATAATCCATCATATATTGTGCTACATGTCTGCATCTTCTTCAAGAAGCGTTTCCTTTCCAATTTCTATCTCGTCGATGCATAAAGAGTATGTTATTCCAATATTTTTCTGACCAGAACTGTGAGTTCTAATCGATGCTGGGAGATCTCCTACCGTAAATAAGATTTCTGCACCGTCATCGGTAAATTCATTCTAGAATGGAATGTTCAATTATGATTTGTTTCAATTATAAGACAATTCATTCTTTTTACCTCAGTCTCAGTCTGTTGGCCATTCACCCAAACGTTTTGAGTTTGTTTATCTGCAAAAGAAATATTATTATTTTCATCTTTTTATCAGATAGAAAGATTGCAATTAACAAAATACTTACCTAGAACTATTCTATATTCTTCATTTCTAACATTAGCCAACCAGGTTTCCAAGATTTTCGACTGCGATCGCACAAAGCTTTTGTAAGGCTTCCCATTCACCCATAATGAGTAAGAATATTTCAAACCTGCGTATATTTTATCGCATAATAAATATTTAATTTAAATAAGAAGCTTGTTATTATTTTGAAATGTGCTCACCTTGGATTGGATCGATTCTAATTACGAATTTATTATCGTTGAAAGTGAAAACTTCGTCTCCAACTAAATGAAACATCCAATCTCTGTAAATTATCTTTTCGCCATCAACCTTCACCAATCGACGACCCGTCGCCGTACCATGTTCGAATTCTATCACGTGATTTCCATCGCTTAAGGGGACGCTCCATTTTGCAGTTGGTTCGTCCAACGATTCCAAAGTGTGCAAACTCCTAAAAAAGTTTTTTTGCTCAGGGTTATTTTAGTACCATTCTAAGGTTATTTAAGATTATCTAAAGATTATTTTACAGTCATTCAAAGTCTGATTGAAAGTATGATATTAAAAATATGTAGTTTCAAAATTATATACCACAAAATCCGCACAATCTATTTGATTATCCAATGATATAATTTTAATGATATAATGTGAAATGCACTGGATTATTCAAAGATTTATAAATTAATTAAATGAACGAATTAAGTTATATCATATCAGGATAAAGATACAATCCTAGTTTAGTAAACATGATATTATTGATCTAATTTCTGTCCCCCTGTAATGCCTATCATAGTATGTAATGTAGAGTCTAAATTGTAGACTATTAGTTCATGTGTTCTTTAGATAAAAGAAAAAGATAAAAACTATTACTGTGTATTATTTTGTTTATATACATGGAGAAATCTTTTTAAAAGCATAAAATTTTCTTAGTTTTTACTTACTTTAACAGCATAGCAGCCATGTTTTCTTGATACTTGCTCTACCTTCACCTGTACTGGTCTCTTTATTGATCGAATTTCCTGCGACTATTTCACGGATCGATAATCCAGCTATTCTACGTCATAGTATGTTGCATCGCAACAAAACTCCAACCAAATTTAACTTTCAAATAAACATGTTCAAAGAAATGAAATAGAATTGTGAACAATTAATACACAACAATTTATTTATTATCTGTAATTCTTACATATTATATTCTTTTATTATTCTATACATTATTTTACAATTGTGATGATGATAAACAATTTCCAAATTATAATTTTAGATATCGTAAATTTAATTATATTGTACTAGAAAATAAAATTATTGAGTAATAGGAGGTAACAATTTTCCCGAACACGGTCCAAATCCGATTCTATACCCATCACCGAGGCAGTAACCTATAAAACAATGTTCAACTGTCAATAATTTCGTAGCTATGTACAGCTTCTATTATTTAAACGAAAATAGCGAACGTACCGCGTATAATCACTTCGTCACCATCTTGCAGAAACTTCCGGTTGGTCCCATCTTTTAACGGTATAGGTCGAGTGCCTTTCCAAGAGAGCTCGAGCATGGAACCATAGGAATCATCAGTCTGAAACATACGACGATTCGATGGAACAGTGTACCTTGGACATCGACGATTTAATTGGCAGACAATGAATAAGAATTTAGGACGCACCTCGCCACTTATCGTACCGGAAGCCATTAAGTCACCCGGATTGATATTGCATCCGGTTACGGTGTGGTGAGCTAATTGTTGTCGGGGTGTCCAGTACTGGTATTTATAGTTACTGCGACAGACAGTGGTAACGATACCATTTGGAGCTAGAAATTATAAAAGAAGAGAATAAATGCATGCAAAGATTGCAAATGCAATGTTTTAAAATATCACTATGAAATAAAAATCTCGTAAATTCAGCTTACTTTTAATGTCAACTTCTAATTTAATATCAAAGTTACAAGGTTCGCTATGCTGTAGATAAGGAAATGGGGTTGGATCTTGTGGCACATTAGGTACTTTGAAAGGCTGTAAAGCCTCCATGGTGACTACCCATGGGGAAATTGTGGTTCCGAAATTTTTTGCTCCGAAAGGTCCCAGTGGAACGTATTCCCATTTTTGAATGTCTCTCGCTGTAATTATTTTTTCGATTAATCATGTTTTTTCTATTTCATTTTAGTATCTTCTTTTTATGTGGAGATCATAAAAAGAAATTATAAGATTTATGAAGAATTACCACTCCAGTCGTTCATAGCGACCATTCCAAAGATATGGTCATAAGCTTTGGATGCTGAAACGGCATCACCTAAATTTGTAGGAGGTCCAACAAAGAACGCTACTTCCAATTCGAAGTCCATTAATCTAGAAGGGCCGAACGCTGGAGGCGCACCCTCTACAGGAAGTGTCTGACCATGAGGTCTCCTTATCGGCGTGCCAGAAACGACGACTGAGCTTGCTCTTCCATGGTAAGCAACTGGCAAATATTTCCTGCAGGTGTATCAGATCTATTACGGTTCTTTGAAATATTTTTTATTTTTATAAATGCAATTAAAGATACGTAATCCTTTAAACATTTTAACGAATGCTTATATTTTTTGTATCTTTAATTTTTTAATTTCTTATAAATGTGATTAATTTAAAAACAATTAATTACCAATTTGGCATCAGAGCATTTTCTTTTCCACGGAACATTGTGCCTACATTTGTAGCGTGATGAATGGAAGAATAAAAATCCGTATAATCACCAATTTTTGCCGGTAGATGCATCGTTGCTTCATTCTGTTCTACAAATACCCTGAAAAGTGGAGTAGTTCGTAAGATATGTGATTTGTTCGTTTTTATTGAAGGAGAAACAGAGCAATTTTTATTTTACTTCGAATGAGTATTTATTTCTTGCAGTGTAGGATTACTGATTGATAATAAATCTTGAAGTTTGGTTCTGGCCTCCAGCCAACTAGGTCTTCCCAAGGCCATAAAATCATTGAGGCAATCACGATGAAATACATCTTGATTGTTTCTTAACAATGGTCCATCGAACAGGTGTGAAATAGCGGATAGATCTAAAATTCTGTCGCCTATTGCTACTCCTATTCTCTTTTGAGGCTGCAAGATTTGAAATTTATCGTTGTACAGTATGTTATCAACATTCGATAATATAGTTTGGCAGTAGGTACAATTAATAATTCAAATATAAAAGAAATGTAATAATGTTTTGTCAGTTCTTCATGAAACCAGTACATAACTTTTTTAAACAATCTAGATGATCAATTTCAATGAAAATTAATTAGAAAAATATTATACAAGTTTAGTTGTTGTGTGATATGTAACAAATTATTGGAAGTGTATAAAAATAGACAGATTTAGAAAAATTCAAACTGAAAATTTAAAAAATCGATTTAATCGTTAAAATATTATCTTACTGCTATTCACAAATACGTTTGTAAATACGCGCCTCCAATTCTACCTGTTATTATCCAACCCACATGTAGATGGCACTTTACTCAACTAACACTTCGATGTTTTACTTATATCGATGAAACAATTGTTTTTGAATGGCAACAATATTATACTAATTTTGTATTATATCAATTGTTGGCAACAATCGTTATCATGATAAATAATTTCAATAAAAAATTTTTCTTCTATACCCACATAACCTACAAACTTTCTTCTAGTTTTGCTATCATTCTAATTTATATCTATGTCTATGATGTACTAGAACATGCCACTTACGTTGCGTTTTGTAGAAAAGACACCGTAAGGGAGATTTTCAATTGGAAAATCACAGTTTGGAGGATACTTCACGAAAGACTTCATGATCACAATTGCTTTGAACGACTGAGTCAAAACATCGCTTCAAAATGTAGATATATGATAATCGCGTAGAAGCTTGTCAAGGTCGACCGGCCACCATAAGATAATTTATTCACCTGTTTACGAACAAGCCTCCGGTCTAACTGGTTCCTAATTTTTCTCACCGTGTTTTCTCTTTTTCCTAGAAAACTCTGCATACCAAAGAATTAATATATTAAGTAGTTCATTGAGCAACTCTGATATCTTCATGTTTATAAACTTGCTGTTAAATGTGAAAAAATAATTATTTTCGTTTCGAGATCTCTGTTAATTGAATAATTTGATAGAATTGCCTCATTCTTTTATATTTCAACATTTTATTTTCTCAGTTGAGTGTTTATAAAGATTTATAAACGGAATATCGATTTTATTAGAATACGAAGGTTTGCTGAGAGTATTATTAATAAACTGAGGATGTTTGTTCGCATTTATGCTAATTTTAAACATGCAGAAATGTATGTAATGAAGATAACATGTTTGTAATGTACATAAAATATAAAACTATTCTCGTTAGAATATCCAGTGAACGAAACTAATCTCTGCTTGTATTTTATATCTCTAGTTCTGGATATTTCTAGTCCTCCGTAAAAATAGGAATTCGTATAAATATCTGCAATCCAGTGATTAAAATAAATCTTACGTTATAATAAATGTAAGTGATGGAGCAAAGATAGAAGGTATTGCGCAACACTTATTGACAATTTGGGATAACAGCAGTTTATTAGACATTGATATACAGTGGATAATAGGGTCAATTAGGTGGTACTTGTCGTACAACAAGATCACGACGTGCCAGCAATCATCGTTATAACGCCACGTATAATCCATATTCTTTCGCTCGTATTACCGCCAGGAGAGTTTTGCACACACGTTTACACATATACATATTTATATATAATTATCTTCTCACCTATTTGTATGTATATAAATGTATTTCTTGTTTTCTTTCTTTTTCTCTTGTTTTTGCTTAATTACGTACAATGTATAAGGATAGCTGCTTTCACGAATCGCGAGGCATCTCTAAATACCGATAATACTCTTCGATCTTTCCTTCTTTCTCATTTGGAAGACGTCGGATTTTGTTGCTGCTCTCCTCGCTCCAACTTAGACTAATAATTAACGATAACGAGGTCACAGGGTTAATGAGATCACCCTGGATCAGTTTGATAAATCACAAGGAAAGGAATTGACCAACGTTAATTATACTTGTGCCGATTTCGTCGGTTCTCTAGTTTCAAATGAAAGAAAGGAAATTTATATGTTTCTCGTTAAACTTATAATTTTCTGTCGATTGCGTGCGCGTGCATGAAAGGTGCATTAAAAAGTGCATTGGATGGTGCATTAGTGCATAGTTTATAGAACGCTAAAGTTCCTCAAAGTTTGTAGAACTAAAATACATATATATGTATATATAACAAGACATTAAATTGTGTAGCGAATAACAATAAAGTACAACAGCGTAGAATATACAGTAACAATGTCACAAGAATAGAATGTGACACGTTTTAGTGTCATAAATCATTTTTCTTTAATAATTCTCAAATAATTTTCATATTGGTACAACGAGTGCTAAGAAATATAGAAGGGAACGTATTCCGCGGCTTTCTATTTACAAATCTTCGATTCGTCAAGATATAAGAAGAAATGGGCACAAGAATAATGTACAAAACCGTCGTTAATTAACGGCACTGATATGGCAAAGGTATACTTCTTACGTTTATATTCACAACAATGTGAAGTTTATAGATTCGCCAAATGTACGTGTAATATGTATGCAGATCAAAGAGTCGAGATTTTTCTCTACTTAGATAGTGTCATTGTATAATTCCTTTACCTGTAGAAATATAGTACCTTTGACTAAACTTTTTAATATACGTGCATATGCTGTGTGTATATATGATAATGTCTTTCTCTGTGTCCTCTTTAATTACGTTAGAATACGAGTGAATTCGTCGAAGTAAAATCAGCCATTCAGTCGGCAGTATCAACGACTGGTGATTAAAAAAATTTATAACGCTGATAAAATTATGGACAATTAACAACAACGGTTCGATAGAATGTCTCTTCTGCAGGTATCGGTAATCGTGGTCAGATAAATGTCATTCATTTGTTTCCTTTTTTTTTTCTTCAAAAATACATACCCTCTGCTCCCCTAGTATAGTCTAATGCATCATGATATCGTTTCGATTTTACATTACAATTCGCAAATTCTATCTCACGTCAGCTTTAGATGAATATTATTAAAAGTTGACTCGAATCATGCGTAACAGGAATGTCGATAATGTTCTACGATTTAAACAATATCGCATGGGACCCTTTATCTTAGCACGTTATTTTCCCGCCTCTGTATATACTTTGTCTTCTATCCTGTCTTTTATTATTTTGTTCTCATTCGTTCTCGAGTTTCTCGTGAATGGAAAAAGATCTATCGACGGCTCGGTAAGTGTCGACGGGAAATGAAAACGTCGAGTAAATTCGTAGGTTTACAATAAATACATTTTAGGTCTCCCTTATTAATATACACCTAGATATTTTGTATTTACTTAAGTTTAAAGACATCTTCGTTCTTTTACTCAATGGCGAGTGAATCGAAAAATTTATATAGGGTCGTTCGGTTCTTAAATGTTGCCTTTTTTTTTATTTTCATTGTCGAACAGATTGATATTTCTTTCGTCGTTTCAAACGAGGCAAAAATATCGAAATTTTGTAGTTAAAAAGACGCAACTCTCTTTTATGTTTCCTCCTTTTTGTATTAACGAAATGAATCAACGTGTGAGAAGTGATGAAGCTAACGATCGATAGTGTCCCCCTAAAAAGTTAGGTGAAAGACGGGAACGCGATTCGAAATTACGGAACTAATTTCTAATAAGAGATTTCTTTACCAAATACGTAATAAGATCAGTTTCCAACAGTGTATAAAGGTAATCGACGAACTAAATGACAACCGTTCGCACGAATACTTGAAAAAGCATGTACTTTCATGGGTTTGTGTTTTGTATTTTAAAATCTCAACGCTAAATATATATATTTATATTGTATATAATATACGCTTTGTTCTTTATATATATACTTATGCTTTTTTTTTAGTTTCAAATACATTTATACTTTTTTTTTCAAGTTTCCTATAATGTATATTAATAAATATTACTCTCCGTTAGTGGTGAAACTCTTCAATAATAAATAATAACATACGTACGTTTTGTATATAATAATAATGTATGCAGGCCTGCCCTCTTTATTTTATAGCTTTGCAAACGATCAATAAATAACAAATTCATTTAGTCTCTCAACAAAGTAACGCGCATCATTTCTAAGCGAACTAATATCATTTTTTATCTCTATATTACTCCGCAGTGTACCGATGCAAGTAAAAATATTTTGTACATCTATCTCGTTCTCTTCGAACGAATTTTTAATTAATTCAATGTTCTTCTGAGTTTCTTTTTCCGTTCGTGACTATTCTCGTAATATATTTATTTTACTTATTGCCTCCCTGTGAGGCATACGCAACATTAATGATGTAATCAAAATCAATTTTCGACTATCTTCTTTCTAAATCCTGTAACTCTCAATAACGTTCTGATACGGAGCCAACTGTTGCAGCGCGTATGTCATGTATTTTCACTAAGAAATAAAATATTAATTAAACGAACTCTCGGTCATTATAAGCGCGATTAACTATATTTTACTATTGTTTCAATCTATGATGAAAACGCGTCGTTGCTACTCCTTCGTTTCCCTTTTCTTTTCTAGTGAATAGGTATAGCGCCAAGGGGTGAAAACTAGTAACATTTACGGCCGGAAGCATCGCTAGAGCTTTGTAACTTGATTCTTCGTTTCGTGGATGTGCTGTACGCTTACACCTAGAGAACTTACATGCTATGAGTATCCTTCGATCTTCAGTAGCTGCCTTGTAATATGCTGAAGAAGCGTTTCTCGTGCTACGAACGATGATTCGGTTACCGACTCTCTTCTGTCGTCAATTTCAAGCTCGAACATTTAGAGAATATTCAAACGAAACGATCGTCTATCATAATTTTAATTTTCATTTCCCTAGACGCACTTATTATGCCAAAAATCCAAATTGAAGTTAAGCTCTGGATAGTAGCGATAGAAATTTCAACAAAATTTTTCTCAAGTGAAATTTAATTTAATTTAAGTAAAACAGATATTCTTTGATGTGAATAAAAACGTATCCTTTATTTAATTTTTCGAAAGAATTTTTTGAATTAAACCTAAAAGTTTTCATTAAAAAAAGAAATAAAATAAAACAACGAATATTTTTCTTGGTCTACAAGAGAAAAGGAGAGAGCCGGTGCACACTGCTTAGGTTAGTAATCATGAATACGAGTCTCGAATTTGGCCTCCGAATTTTGTACACGTAATGAAACGCGACGCGATTCTCCTGCTCGTTAAATGAATTTCTAATATCAGCTGGAATCACTTTCGATACGATGTCGCGATATAATCAACTGCATCGCGGCAACTGATTACGCAACTAATTAGAACGGGCGGGTTTCTTACAGATCACGGCCTAACCGGTCCATTTCATCCAATAGGAAGTCGACATCCGCTTCCGTTACCGCGGCACTCGAGATAATATTTCTGAAGAAATTGGGTCGCCGATCGTCCGGCTGGTAGCCGACCATCAGTGTTCCAGATTGCATCATTCGGCCTTTCAAAATGGGGCAAATCTGTGAACAGATATTTTTCTTCTGCTTTCTCGGTACATTGAGGACATGTAGAAATATCATTATTATCGATAAAAATAATTCTAATGAAATATAGGATAATCAGAAAATTGTAAAGTTGAAATATTCAAAGCTAACAATTTAAGTTTGGAAATAGAGAATTAGAGATCTGAAACGTTAATTGGGGTTTAACTAAACTATAATCAGAATGAAAAAATAATGCCCGTTATAATATTTAGTAAGTTGAAGAGAAATTACAATAAAATATGCGTAAAACTCTGCAATATAGTAATTCGAATACGATGGAATAGAGTTAGAAAAAAAGTTCTCAAAAGATGTTTGTAGTCTCACATCTCCAAGGATCTTGATCCTCTCCTGAGTATGTGGCATGTTCCGAACGCGTATTGGAAGATACCAGAAGCAGACGTTCACCATTTCAGGTTCCAGTATCAAATAATATTTATCAGGCATCTGTTTGATCCGCCTGACCATGTACTCTGAGAGTTCCATCAGCCGGTCCATGTGTTTCTCAAATCCTTCTGTACCCTGTACGTCAAACCGAATTTGCCCAACTTTATCATACATATTAAATATCCTTCTAAACTGAATTATATTCTTTGACCATTCATTCCATCTACTCTCTGAAATTTATTTTACGAAGTACGTCAGGATAATCTCTTCTAAATTTGAATAACTTCTGTCTACGTTCTCCAGTTTTGTTCGATTGCTACGTCCATTTACCTTGGCTCGCCATTGCAACCAGAGCTTGAAGATGTCATTATGACGTCCGCATTGAATCACCTTATCACCGGTGTCGTATTTTACGTCGTACAGTTTGTCTGTCATGAACAAATACTCTGCGGACATTTGGTTGCAGCTAATCAGCAATCCCTGCAACATAAAGACATAAAGAACATCGCGAAAAGAGGAGAGAAACCATCGTCTCTCCTGTTGTTTACCAGTTCTCGTTTGTTTTTTTTTCAGTTCATTTTATGGAGCTTGCACAATGAGCGTTTCGAAGCGCGTTCGAGAAAGTTTCTAATTGACAGGCGCGACAAGAAACAAACACGGAGAGACGGGTCCCGGTCGATATGAGAATTCAACTCATGCGCAGGAAGAGGGAAACTGAGGGATATTGAATTTACAAAATGGCGACTGGTACTCCGCCACCCTACCAGCCACCATTGTACACCCATGATCCTGCGATTCTACGCGTCTCGCATCCTAAAAGTTAATTGAAAGCTTGCCGTTAAACATCCGCCTCTCGTGATTCGCAGTTAATCTGACTTTATAGGATGAGAAGAGAATTGCAGTAAGAGAGACAATAAAGAATACAGGAAAATGAAAAATGACTGAAAATCCATTGAAAATTCATTGAGAATTGTTGATGAGTTCTATAAATTTAATAAATCGTCAGAACCTAAAGAAATAGATATTTAGAACGTTGAATTTCTCTGACGATTGTTGCCACCTTTAAATCCACAATTAAAGAGCATTAGTCACAATTAAAATGCATATAATTGCAGACTAATTACATAGACTATTTGTATTAACAGCATACACACGCAATAGGAGGAAATTATACACGTTTGATATGAGAAAATTCAATTTTTCCAAGAATAGGTGGCTAATACGCGAATCAGTAGAAACGGACTGCAGCTGGTCAGACGCACGGTTATTTTATACATAAAACTGTCTGTATTTGCATTATGTACATATAATAACATAAAATTATAGACGGTCGACATTGAAAAGCTTCACTTTTTCAAGAGTAAACGAATAACACGCGAGTAAGTAAAAACTGACTGTACTTGATCAAACACGCGTATATTTCATATGTACATATTCCTCGTGGATTTTTCTCGTTTCTGGACTATAAAAGGGAAAAAGCATAAAGCGAGAGAATGATCATTTAACCGTGTAACATATAGTGACATACAAGAGAAAATTAAAAATTGATATTCATGTACATGATTATTACTGTTATACGTGGCAGTCATTATTAATCACAATTCTATTTCGTAGAACTATACTATCTGCAATTATCCTTTTATTCACCGTATGTCAAGTGAAAACATTCATAACAGTTTCGATTATCATTCATATTGAAATAATTCGTGATCCTGATTTGTCTATTGCAAGTTGCAACAATTTTTAAATCCGGGGTAGTTCGAACTGATTTTTCACGCTCGTGCAAGGATAACGATAAGGACGAAGAAGGAAAAGGTTCGGTAGAATTTCCCTCGAAACGTTCCTCGGCAGCCGGCGCACGGAATTTTAATATCCGAAGGGGAAGTTCTGAGTTAGCAATAACCACGCAAGCGCGGGGAGAGAGGGATAAACCCCCGGGCAAACCGTCGCGGTACGGCCGGCAACATATGTTATCTCTTAGTTTAATTAAATTCCTGCAGTGCTGCGTTCCGACGCGTACGTCTAGCCCCACGGAATGCAACTACTGTTGTGTCATCACCCTTCCAGGAGACCGGAATTTTGCTCGGTCCACGACCTCGAGCTGTCGATTTGCTCAACATGATGTATATCCACGTGTATGAGACACGTCGCAAAGATGGATCATGATATAATTCTACGTACAGTAAGACGAATAATAGAATGAGTTTCGTTGACTTACGTCCTCCTTGAAGTGAATCGTCGAACACTGAAGCAACGCTCCCATAAGTTTGTGCGGGTTCCAGGTTACGGAGTCGGCTCTGTGAACATTGGTATATTATGAAGAATATCTGGATAGAAATTGTTATTCAAATATCATTTGAATTATTATGAGAATCTGAGGTTGAATGATATTATATGTAGATACTAGTTAAAGAATTTTGGGTATCTGAAAGCAGAAAGAAAATAATTCTTCATTTGAAAAAAGATATTGTGATAATGAGTATATGAATTCTTTGGAATATTGAGTAATTCTATAAATAGAAAAGTATGGAAGCGTGATGATATATCGTAAACACTACTTTTTAAAATTTATCTCAAAAGTTATTGTACTATTATTATTTGTGAAAGTAAATCATTCTTTTCTTGAGAATTGAACAGTAATCATGTCCCTACCGAAATTGAGAAATTTATAAAAAGTAGAATTGATCAGCTTAGTTTCTGAGAAATTCGTATATAGAAACTAAGATCTATAGTATATCTTCTCGAGAAATTGTGAAAGTATTTAATATGTTAAAAATAGGATTGTGATTTGGATTTGGGTTTAATAACAGGAGATAATGAATTGAAAAATGTGAGTGGAACAGATTTTATCTGTAATCTAACGAAAAGAGTGACGTAAATATGGCTGAGAAAGGCGAAGGAGCTCAGCTGGTCGTCAAACGGTTATCCACTCCCGAAGGGACCAATAGGGGATAAAATATGAGTTATTTTCCCTCCTGCTTCGTGGGGGTCCATCAATTCGAGAGAAGAGCTATTAATATAGCCACGGGATTGGATTTAACCCTCTGCTCCTAAGAGACACACCCTTGCGGTAAAAATTCCTAACCCTTCTTAATCCTTGCCGCGGCGAAACGCGAGAACCTGTATACTACATGACACTAATTTGCGATGCACTCGAAACGTTCAACAAGTGTCGCTTACCTTCCCATTAAAATAATCCACTGTCCTTTTAATATGCATCAGATAGGTTGTACATGATTTCTTAACGAGGTAATCTCTTAATCAGAGCTTTTTGTAATTAAAAAATTAGAAATTAATACGGTTAAATTTTTAATCCTTGTAATTTGGTCTTTACAAATTTAAATACGATGTCATTTATTTTTAAGATAAATAAAACAGCACAACAAGGGATTTATTGTATAAAAAGATTATTGCATTATAAAGTGTTGGAATTTGACAATAATCTACTGAAAATCTCTATGAGTAATATAGAACTTTAATAAAATTTTAAATATTTTTAGCTTATTGTAAAAATAAATTAAGATATTATATGAATATAAATATGAAATACATTAAAATTACGTTAATTGAATGTCAAACGATTTTTCGATATTCGATTATCGTTTTGTAGAATAAAAAGAACGTAGCCTTGATAGTACTAGATATTCTAAATGATAGTCATGAGTATCGTACTCATATTCCATAATAATAATTCGGAACGTGTAGCTTTTCGCTTATGCAATCAGCACCAGTTAACTCGGTTCAAGTAGAATCAGATGTACACGTGCAGACGAGCACGGTACGGTCTGCTTCATGACAAACGTTATCGACACTTGGCAAGTGACACATATATCGCGAAACTGTCCCTACTGTCTGTTGACTGTGCTGTGGATGATGTGAGAGTACTAGAGACGGCCAGGGAAAGAGATTCGTGTCGACGACAGGCGTTTGCCATTAGTCACTCTTCTGCATCCTCTTCAACGTACGAGTTTATTGTACTGTTGTATCACCAACATTTTCGACAGCTTCTCCCATTCGACGTTTCGTATTCATAAAGCTTACGATCATATATAAAGCTTGCAGTGCATATATTTGCTTTGATATTTTATTGTATAATTAATGTGTGATTTAATTAACCGAGAAATTATAATTTTATAGAGCATAGCTTCATTTTATAGAATCGATGGAAAGTTTCCCAGGTGTTTTGATTTTCCATTAGTTAAAAAGATATCGCTAAGAGTGTGCATAATGTCTGTACATAAAGCTCGAGTGATTAATGCGATTCGCAACTGGGGCTGGCGCGTGCAGCACCCCTCCGTTCACTCTTAAATTCGTCTTAGGTGCCAACTCCAAAAGCCGCGCAATATATATTACGAGGGTTGCTAATTATCCCTCCCCCCCTCAGAAAGTAGGCGAGGAAAGCAGCTACTTTTCAACTGGAACTGTCAAATTCATTGTGCGTTGAGAAAGAAGGATTGATACAAGAGGAACAAGATTCATCTAATGTTAACGCTTATCCATTTTTTGTATCCATTCACATTCAAATGCAAAAAAGTAGTATGGCTTTCCCATCACTTTATTATTTGTGTACGAACATGCCTAGTAATTAGACTGTGTGCGTTTATCCATTTATAATTTAAAACTCAGAAACACATAAAATGCACACGATACGCAAAATGTATGAAATATCTAAAGTATGATACTCGTTACGAACAAACATCTGCTTAGTTCCCGTTCCATTAATTACATTCACAAAGATATGATTTTGCGCAATAACTTTAATGCCTGCGTGCATATCAATTTAATTGTTTTTCATTGCAAGAACAAATTTTGCGAGCTTAATTATTTACCTTCTCTTTATATTGCCTCTTTTATCATTATGTTAAGTTGACACTGAGGGATAAATTGACTTGGAAAAATTCATATTATGAACGAGGAACTAGTTCCACCAAAATAAGAATAACTTGCAACGATTGCCGGACGAGATCGCAATAATCGCGCTCCAGAGAATCGAGAATTCTCGGTACAATTCAGGGAAGTGTATATGAAAGAAAAATACACGTGAAAGCAGCTGAGCTTAGCCGAGTATGCGACAAATCTGTTGAATCCAGCGAGAGAAGGACGCGAACTATCAGATTCACTTCCGCCTGCAAACCTTGCTCTCCTCCCCAGAATCTTTTATGCGTAATCATTCCTGACTTTGTCGCGACGGTGGAATCACGATTTCCCTTTTTCTATATTTCTCTCTCTCTTCCTCTCTCCCTCTCTCTTTCTCTGTGTCGCTCCTTTTCAAGGGTCTGCACTGTACTGTTCGAGGGAGAACCAACGATAGTTGAGGAGGAGAAGAGAGGGGCGACAGAGAAGACAGACAACGAGAGAATGAGGGAAGATGTTCCCTTTGTACGAGTTTAATCCAGCATTGTCGAGGCACGGTCTTTTATTTCAGGCCCGCGGAAGGCACGGTACGATGCGGCGGCGTGTCGATATATAAAGAGGAGAGTTCTGTTCTGCAAATGCGCTCCAGGGAACTGATCCAGCTGTTGCTCGTCCTTCGGACTTTTCGTTTGCCATTTTAATCAAGACTTTCACAGGAAGGAAGTCCTGGGGTACAGTCTGTACCAGCAGCAACACAGCGATGAGAGTGGAGGATTTTACTCGCGTTTACTCTACATAACGTGTGTTTCGCTTTATTTAGCTTTGTTATACATCATCGTGGAATCGGTCAATATTTAATCTTGTAAGTTCTAAATTACGTATCATATTTCCTTTACTGCGATTTTCAGATTTGATTTGATACTTGAATAATATTTTCGATGTTTGCATGCTATTACTGTATAATCTATGTATCACTAAGATATAAATGCATATGGCAATACCGACAAGTAACAATTCGAAAATATAATTTTGATAATTCGTATGAATTTTGTTTTCGCCCCTTTTTTCACTTATGTAAAACGTATAAAAATATTGCCATGAAATATTGTAAAAATTAATCATGAAAGTAAACGAAATAATTTGTATCAGCTTAAAAACAAAGAAAAAAAATATGCGCACGATAAAATTTCATTTTTTGTATAGCGATGTTTAATAAGAATCAATCGAATCCGAAGAACATTTAATTCATGATAATTTTGATGCGAATTACTACAAAGAAACTTCAGGACATAAAGAGTTAAAGCTTCGTGCCACGAAAATTTGTAACAAAAACATACTGTAAAATTAGAATAATAATTTACTTCTGCGTGAAAAGGATAGATAGTATATACTATAGTAACTATTGTTCACAATAGTAAACTTCCTTCATAACATGTGATATTAACATTCTCTGTGTAGAGAAAAATTCCGAATGAATGCCACGATGCAGAAGAACAAATGACGATACTCGAAATTGCTCGAAACCGGCGACTTTTTGCGTGAAAATGATTTTCCTGGCAGGCCTCGTGCCACTTTTTTTCGGGTCACGGACTGTCTGGCGTTGAATGAAGGGAGCAGATGCGGCCGGATGCAAATCGTGGATTAATCTCGCCAACCCCATCTGAGCTACCCCCGAATCGGTCTATCCCTGACCCCCAATTGCAGTGCGAGGGGTCGGACATCGCTCGCCTCTGTGAATCTATATGCGAAAGTTCGCATGTGTCGAGGACAGGAGTCACTCCTTTCTGTCGCCCCTCGATTCTACGGATTACGACACTGTACAGAAATAGCCGGCAGGTATCTTCTTTCTCGCGTCGATTAATTTATCCTAATTTTTAACCAGAGAATCTTGTTATAGATTTTTTATATTTCACAAATTCCTTTAATTGTTTCGCGGTTAATGAAAGAATGCCAAGATAAGTTTTAGAAAGATTTCTGGCAATAACAATTGCCGGGTTTTTATGTATTTTTATGAACAACTTAACCCTGCTGCATTTCTTGAATTTTTACTCATATTTCGATATTTCAATTTCATTATTAGCATAAAATTGAATTCTTTTTACTTGAGAAATTGTTTAGTAGTAAGAAAACATAACTGAGTGAAAAAAGAGCCGAGGAACGCAGAGGATTGAAAATGCAAAGCTGTGCATGAATATATAAAATATTCAAAGTATATATATTTGTCAATAATATATATTAGATGAAATAAAATTATTTAAACTTCATTTTTAGCTATGCTCTCAAAAATATGCGAAATTGTATAAATATCCGCAATGTGGAATAATTATAACATTTCTCATTGATATCAATTTACGAATGGGACTATTTTACTTAAAAAATCCTATTTAACCTACATTTTTCTAAATTTCAGAATATACTATAGTTCGTATTATTGTAGTCTTACAGTCATTATTAAAAGAAATTATCCTATTCCCGTGCAAAGTGATTTTTCTAAGGTTTAAGATGTCTTATTCTCATCTCGAATACATTGAAAAAGCTTTATCGATTTTATCTTCCGTGCACGCGTGTGCGTATGCTTTCTTTCTGAGTGACTCCATCAAACTAAGCCTCAATAAACTACATATAAAGTACGTGGATTAAGCCGCCCCTCTATAGAACACGCGTGGAGGTGTTTCTGGTTGATCGAAAAGAGGCGAGTCAAGGAAGTTGGATCAATTTAAGGATGAAATTACGTCACGTTTCTTTTTTGTAAAAAAATAACACAAATGAAATATTTTGTTCTTTTCACTCACCGTTCGATTCCTGTCATTCGGGGATGTCTGTATTTCCTTGAAAGAAGCAGTCCACCACCCCAAGCCGCCTAAAAAGGGAATATTTCGTGAAGACTCTGTAAACGTTGACTCTTAAAGCCCAGATTTTCCGAATTTTCCCTCGATTTAACCCATCGAAACTGGCCGTCGACTACGTGACGCTTCTCACATCTATTATTTACGTTAAGACTCTTACGCGTTTGGCATTTATCGTTCGAACGCTAAACCGATTTGAATAAGCTGTCTGGCTAAGTGAAAATCTCTCTCGTCCTATTCTAGCTTCGAAACACTTTCATCTTCGGTTTTGTTCATTACATTAGTCGAACAAATATATTTTTTAATTTTACACGCGCGATACAAGGGAAACGATCGATCGTTCTTACAATTTACAACGACTTTAATATTCTGCCTATTTTTGAGCCATTTTCTCTCATCGATAAAATTATTGTTGGCGATTATTATAAAAAATACACATAATGATCTAATTTGTATAAAATATTCACAGTATAATAATCGTTATATTTAAGAGATAAAACTAATTTCATCGACTAGGTCCGACTTCTTTGATTGCGTTCATAAACATATCAATTTGTACAAATTTCTAATTATTATAATTATTGGTAGAATTAATTGATTTCACTCACGTCGATGTGTAGCCAGAGCTTGTGTCTCTGGCAAATATCAGCGATTTCTGGAATAGGATCGAATGCTCCGATGACGGTCGTTCCTGCGGTAGCGTTCACGAAGAAGGGGATATGTCCTCTAGCCTTGCGTTCCAGAATCAATTCTTCCAACTTCGATGGGATCATGCGTCCTCGATCATCGCTGGGAACCATCACACAGTTGTCCGTTCCCAGTCCGCAGACAGAGGCGCATGATTTCACCGAATAATGGCACTGTGCGACAAATTAAGCACACCTCAAATTTTTATTTCTAGCTAGGTTATATGGCGGTTATAATTTTACTATGAAATCATAAATAAAATTTCTCTAAAAGCAATTTTCTTATATGATTATTATTAATCAAAGAGTTCTCTAAAAGTAAATTCATTGCAAAGGATTTCTTTCTAAACTAACAAATTTGTAGAAATTATATCTTAGAAGATTTTAACTTCCACTGTTAATTGATAAAAAATAGATAAACAGAAAAATTCATACATCTTGAGGAAGATGAGTCGCGATTAAGATTCTTTTATAGAATTGTGAATTAAAGAATTCTTAAGGAAGAAAGCAAGATGTATTCTAACAATCAAAGATATAGAAATTGAAGAAGATACGAAGATATATCGGTTTATACAAGAATAAAGTTTGATTTATCGCGGAGCTTATAGAAAATGTTATAAATAGAATTAGGCGTACCTGGTCAGACGTAAACATAACTAGCTGTCCCCCGATAGCAGCGAGGCCTCGTTCCTTGTAAGCGGGAAACATTTTGTGTCTAGCAGCGAGAAAAGCATAAAGATTGCTGATGGAACCTCCTGGTGCAAGGATAGAATCACCACCGTTCCAACCAATGAGCTCCCTCATTTTCTGAAGCACCACGTGCTCCATCAAAATGAACACCGGCGCAATTTCGTAGGTGAACATGTTCGTGTTGGCTGTCGCTGTCAGCCATTCACCAGCCATCGAGACGATATCAAGACCGCAGGATAATTGATTGAAGAAATGAGGATGACCTGAAAAAAATCGCAAAATAAAAAATGGAATTATTACTTTAGTTCACATTTTTTAATATTGGAAGTATAGACCTATGCCACTATATTCTGTACAGTTAAATGTACCATACACAGATGATTATAATTAGAATTGTGTAATGAAAAGAAATAGGTATGCGTATATATTAATAGTTACATAATATATAACTGTAAGTAAAGTATAGTTTGAATATTTTATTATATATTTTACAGCATTTCGTACAGTTCTGCATCTTTACATTTTCTATAAATGCATGAACATCCGTAATATGTTAACTATCCTTTAATCTTAATAAAAATCAATATTATCTTTGCCAAAGAATTTGCGTTTTTAGTAATTGCAAACATAAAAAATCGTTTGACGGATATAGTAGTTGCAGTGTTAACGATCGAACAATGGTATTGAAATCCTTGAAACAAATGCCTATGTTAAATTCACGAAACAATCCTTTCGCCACGGAAGGAGGCATTCAAATTAATCGTTTCCACCAAGAATCAGGGTGACGTTCTAATTCCTTTGAAATCGTGATTGTTTGAAGACGGCGTCCAATGGCGGGGTAATTAATAACACCGACGTGGCACGTGGCCAAAAATTATATTGCCAACGTTCGTAATGCCAAACAGCGAGGTCGGACGTTAAAGACACGCGAATAGAAAGCGAGAAGAGAGAGAGAGAGAGAGAGAGAGAGAGAGAGAGAGCTTTAAGCTACTGGCTGAGTACGTTGTCATCCGCTCTGCTGAACATCGCGGCAGGATCAGGGTTAATGCTTCTGTTCGATGGGAGTCTGCCTTCTGATGCGACTGGGGGAACAAGTGCTCGGATTCTACTGTTTCTTATACGCGAGGTACCCTGATGTATCAAGTTAGATTTTTGTATTTCGTTTCCTTTGGTAATCAATAATTTTATTTCGAATCAGTCTGTTAGTTTTATTTATATTTATTTAAAAAATAAATGATTTTAACAAATATAAATTCGAAGATATTACACTTGTAAGATATTGCAAGATTAATATATAGATAATGTGGAAGTATAATAATGCTTATACAGAATTACGTTTACGCCAAATCGGGGAATTCTGTAGCTCAACCATATTGTGATTACTGGATTCCATTCTACAAATGTTAAGGCTGCTTTCATACCTAGGACACATGTGGAAATGTTTCGATATAAACGACAATTTGCTTAAATTCAAGATGAACCGAGAAAACACTAGAATTCGGTAAGTAGATACGGAACGTTTGTGATTTGAGATGGAGTAAAGAGGATATATGAGCCACCAGCTTTCGTTATGTACCAGCATTGGTGTCTATTAATGATATTTACACTATAAGAAGTACTTTAAACGAATTCAGAATTATTACTAAGCTATCCACAAGAAATAATGGAGAAAGATAATAATTTAGGAGTAACAAGTAACTAACAGCTTATTATAATATTTCAGAATTGAAAAAAGACTTTTACATCATCACCTTGTTAAACACATTGTCTTTTGTTAATTTTGATTCTTAGATATTTCCTATTTTTTTTCTATTTGTTTCATTCTTGTTAAAAATAAATTATGTGTTTATATGCGTAAGTATTACTATTCAACCAACCTAAATGAGTTTGACTTATTCTTATTAACTCCTAATTCTGTAATTATAAAACAGATTACGGAGTAAACAATAAATTAGAAGATTTTTATTTATTTATATAAAGTAAATCCTTTTTTTAGTCATGGATATCATTTTTCCGCAAAATTTATGTTTCCGTGATGCAGGATTTTCTTCCACCCTTGAAACCTATATCCTATCATTCTCTAAAATAAGGTAGATCCCTTGATCCCGAGAATTGATGGATTCACTCCATTGAATATCCGGCCACGAAAAGACTTTCTCCCCCGAGTGTACGATAACCTTCACAACCTTTGATAACCAATGAGCATAGTCGGAAGGTTTTCTGCGTGAAACCTCCAGAGTCGCGTTATGTTTTTCCGAAAATTCTGCTCCCTCGATATTAAGACTAAAGACGCGAATGAGTATTTCGAGGGTGGCGCCTAGACATTTTAATCTCACGGTATTACGTAGTGATTGACGTATGACGCCAGTCTATCGAGGGCTAAGTGCTCCCCTTGGCACATCTGTAACTGTAACTTCAGTACTTTTCTAGCGCGAAGTCGAGATCATGATTTCCCTCACAAATTTTCGTAATCTTCAAGAATATTTTATGAAAGTTTTGGAATAACAATTCGTGAAATTAGTGAATAATGAACTTCTATAATTTTAATAATTTTAATTTTAATTTTCTATTTTTGTTTCCTTAATTTGAGTTATTCCATCCTTCGATATTTTAACTTAGTTAAAGAAATAAAACCAAATTCTTGGAACTCTAACGAATAATTACGATCTCTAGTCATTCGGTCGTTTTTTACTTATCTCGAATTATTTCGCCTTCAGTATATCCAAAAAAGAACCTCAAAGAATTTCCAATGAAAAAAATCAGCAATGATCGAAATATCCACAAGCGCTTATCGCAATTTTTCTCCCTATATGGCAAACTAAATTTAGTAGATCCACCAGTGAAACATCGAAATCTCCGGAATCACGAGCGTATATCTCGACATAAGAGTCTCCACCCCAAAAATGCGATATCGGGCAGCGGTATCTGAGCCGTTTGTCGCAGTGTTATTCGCAATTATCTTGGTCCGTGGATCGTGGCACGCGTCCGGTTCTGGGGTGTGCAACAAGACTTCTCCCTTTCTCTGTCTCTCCCCCGATTTTTTCCAAGAGCATCGAGCTCCAGCGGTTCAGCCAAGGGTGGTGGAGGGTCGATGGTCCGAGGAACCCGCATTTTGCGCGTCACACGCGTCGCTGCGCGACTAGATTGTTTGCAGAGGCTCTCAAACTGACGTATGATACAAGAAAAACAAACTATTTCGACCAACTGGCGAGACAGGTTGATGTAAATCATGCGAATCGCCAGCGTAACTATTCCGTGGCAAGCTTGCGTTATCTTCTGGGACAAATTGAGAAAGTTTTAACTATTACATCAGTGCAATTGCTTGTAGATTGAACGTGGAAAATGAATTCAGAGCAGAAGTGGGGGATGGTTAAGTGAACCTAGTTAAACTTTCTATTGGCAAGAGAGGAATGTTGTAAAAGTGAAGTTGGACGTATTAGATTGCGTTTCTTAAGAGAGTGTTACAGATCATTAATATAAAATCTATGTAATCAATAATATATAAATTATTTTGCTTCGTTATTCTTTGTAAGTGGATTAGGTAAATTTATCTCACCACCATTAAGCTAAAGCTTTCATCGATTTATCAGAAAATTGCGATATTTTTTTAGTACACTCACAATATCAGTTTTTTCACCATTATTGTTATTAATTGATGCAATTATAGTCAACCTTTATCCAATACGATATTATTCACTGTAATTGAAATAAGTGTCGTTTCTATAATATTCGTCAAAATATAACATTAAAAGATTTTAATATTTTGGTGTAATATTTTAAACGTTCCAGAAATGAATGCAACAACGATTAAATATTCATGATGGGTAGTGAGCGTTTTGTTTGCGTAGTTTATAGGAAGATACGAAAAACAAACGCACGAGAGTGCAACGCGCGGATCGAGATAAACCAGGAAGGTTTGCCGTATTATGTAGATTTAAGGGTATGTTAATTTTGCTGTGAGCTGCAGGGATTTTCGAACCGTATCCCCTTAGACTCATTTTCATTGCCACGAAGTAATAGCAAAATAGACGCTGCCCCCTTAAAACTAATGGACGGTGATTTTCTTTTTGTTGCGATCCTTTACACTCTCGCATAAATCGAATTTCTATATCAATTTTGTGTTACAAACATTATAGTTTATTTATAACGAAATATTGAAGAAGGTAGTAAAATAAAGAAGAATATACTGTCATCTTTTCATGGCAATCTGTTAGCATTCCTTTTCCTTCTGTTTTGTTAAAACATATTTATAACAGGTTTGCGTTACTTGCTTTCTCACGATTTCTGGGTTTATCATATCAATTTCATTATACTCCTACTTTTTTTCTTTGTTAAACATTGTTTTATTCGTAAAAAAGATATTTAAAAAAGTAGTAAAACAAAGAACATTACAAAATAAATTTTCTACTTATTTTGTTAAAGAATATTTGTCACAGATTTATACTGATTAATTTCTCGTAATTTGTGGAGTTGATATAGAGGGACATAAATAGACTGGTATTTGTACGTTCGATACGATAGATTCTGCGATTTGTTCCTTTCACTAGGTTGCTCTTACGAGCAATTACAACGTCGGAGGGTATCACTTTCCGACTAATTTGCTCTCTTTTCCCGCGTGGAAAAGAAAAACGGAACAAATTTTAACGTGGAGAACCTGCTCGATGCAGACCTCGGTAATATATTACAGGGCTTAGGATTTGTATGAAGAGAAGTGTGTAACCCTGGCTAAACGCTAATACCGTGCAATCAATCATATCACTAGAAAGAAAACCATTTCGAATGTGGTCTTGAGCTCAGACTTATGTAACGGCACAAGAAAACGTCTTATGCGAATAGCATTATTCACCTTTCGATGGAGAAACTCCATAATTTCATTTCTTTTACGTAACTTTTACGTAACTTTTAACTCCACAATTTCATTTATCTTCATACGCTACATATTTGACCAATTTTATATATATAATCTTTATGAATTAAATATTCAACAGATTTTAAAAATAATTAAAGCCCAAATCTTTTAAGAACCATAATTTACACAGACAATAGGAACTCTAAAATTTAAATCAATTTCAATGATCAATCAAATTAAATTAAAAAGAAAAGGAGCATCGTTTATGAGAATTTCCATTTGTCTTTGTAGGCATGATATTTGAACAGTTATGATTTTGGGTGCAGGAATTCCATTCTTCTCGCCTTCTACCGAATGGATGACGTAACAACTTCTGCGTTCCATGACGAAACGATTTCTACATTCCACGGCCGGCTATCGATGCCAATTTAAATTCCAATGGGTGTAGGCGATGCTTTCGTGCCGAAAGTTCACGAAGGGTTCAAACTATGAGCGATCCCGTAGCTACCCCCGCTTGCTCGCCCCTATTTACTATTTCCCTCGACCCCAGCGAGGGAAAATCGTGTAGAAATGGCTCTTAATTACACCGATCCTATTGAATTCACCACCCTGCGCAGTGGTGCCACGTGCGCTAACGCTACAACCGTGTTTTTCGATGGGCACAGTTTGTATTGTTCTTCCCTCTCCCCCCCCCCTTTTTTGGTTATCCGTACTCGAATTCCAATAGCTTTTTGCAGAAAAACCATCGTAACTTCGATCCACGTTGAGAGGAATTGGGACGAGAGTTCTCGATTGAAAATTGGCAACTTTTTTGTCTGTTAAGCCTTTCGCAGCCTCATAAAATGACGAAGAATTCAGGATGAACGATTTGGAAAATAATTATTCTTTTGTCTTCAAAATGTTCTATATTCCTGATATCAGATATAAGGAATATATATTTTCAATTTTCTATAGGAAATAAACGTTGATAACTGCAGTTAAGATGTGAAATTCAAATAGATAATTTGTACAACTTTATTCGATCTTAAATCAATTTTATATGTTTGTCTTCCTCAGACTACGCTGGTAAAGCGTAATTTTACCTTAAAAATATAATTGATAGGTTTATAATTCTGAAGAAAATTATTTCTCCATCTCTTTGTAATTATACCGAGTTTCACATTAGGATATCGAAATATTGTTGTTGCATGTAGATTGTGTTTTCTAGGTCGAAACAACTAGAGCGCCTATTTTATATATCGACGAAGAGCTTTATACAGAAAACATACAGGATTTCTTTCCAGTGTCAGACCTTCGAAATTCTCAGTCTTCGTGATTGTATAGACATTCTATATGTCGACAATATGTCGTTGTTGATAAATACGAATCAATCACGAACATCGAGACACCAGTTTCACCGCAATCAATCAAGATCTTCGTACGTATCTCGATATTAATCGATATTAATTTCCTCCTATCGTGAGATACACGATAGTGGAAATTTCAAGCTCAGCGATAATTTACATAAATTTGACTGATTTTACATAAATCTTTTTCTATACATATAATATTTCATTTTTTAAATACATATTCAGCATCACATTAATTCTTAATATGAAGTTTTACTTGAGTCTAGTTGATTGTCGTAATATTAAAATTTATATTAATTCTGCGAAAATTCGTTCATAAACAATTTCCCTCCCTAAAACACTGTCTCCCTCTTAACAACCCTCAATATCTTTATTCTTTTTATGGTGTCATATTTCAAAAGACTATCATCGGCATTCTTATCATCCAGCACCCTAAAAAAGCATTTTCAACGTATCTACAATCAATCGATTCGATTGCAGAAGGGTGGATATTTTCTTTTTTTTCGCGGTTTCGATGACAATAAGATCGCTACGAAGAGGGAATCTTCCGTGGAATATAATCTAATAAGGACTTTTTGTCGGCACGTATACATCGTGCACGCGTCCCTCTATACACAGGGGGTGGCTCGTCATTCACTCTGTCCACGATCCTTTCCATCGGCGTTTGCTACCAGACAAGCCTGATTTCTGGCCTAAGTTCGGTTTGCCCTCTTCCATTGTGCATTAGCATCTATTCAAGCTGGTAATCGAATCCTGCCGAGATAGCGAACTTTCGCGGGGGATTTGCGGTTGACTTTTGGCATTTCCTCCACCGAGAGACTCTATAGATTCGCCAAGCTACGACTAAATTAATACCTCAGTGCAAACTTCTACGACCGCACTAGTTGTTTTACGGAGTTGAAAATTTTCGATAAGAATCTTGAAATTAAAATTAGAGACAAATATTGAATATTTTGATAGATAGAATTTTCAAGCCACGATTAGATTAACATTTCAGTGTAAAATTCTACGATCGCGTTATTTGTAAATGTAAGAGGTAAACAATTTTCAGTGAGAACTTTAGTATTAAAATTTAATACAAAAATGAAATATTTTGATTTGTCCACTAAATTGGAGGGATTTTTAATTTTGTGGGAATAAATGGAATTTAATTTTGTAGGAATAATAGGATTAATATCCAACATTGATTATTTATTATCGTACAAATTTTTCACTTGATTCTTCCTTTACAATTAAAAGAAATGGAACCTTATACAACTCGAAACTGTATCACTGCTTTTCAGAGAAAAATAACCAAGATAGTGCAGGGTGATAATACGGTTTTTTTATTTCAGTTAGCAGCAGCCCCTCGCTCATTTATCACGTGCACAAGGGCAACGTGTATATTTCGGGGGTTGTAGCCGACGGAAATGCAGGAAGTGTCTCTAGCCACCTTATCTCCGACCCCGAGAGCGCGTATGCTAAATTGAATATGAAATTACGTGGCTTATCGCCCCCCCGAATGCAAGCAAATGTGATAGCACAGTGTTAAGCGATTTTCTACTAGTCATCGTCTTCAATTTTCCTTGAGTTTTTCGTTTAGATAATTTTTATCCATACTTAACAAACAAAGAAAAGTCGTTTAACAATCTTCATTTTGATTCAATTCAGAATTTTTACTTTTAATTAATAATCAACGATTAAAACATGAAAAAAGTTATTTTTGTTGTTTCTAAGTAATAATCACGAGTTTGAATAGTCAACTTGTTGTACAGATTAACGTTAACTTACCAGTTTTAACTTGATACTTTAACGTGGTGGAACAATCAATGAGAAGTTGCTGAAGAGTCAAACCAGAGTCGGGAATTTCGAGATCCAGGAGGCGCATCATTTCGGAAGGATGATGGAAATCGAGTACCTTCGCAGTCCTGTCATTCGTTGATTTGATGAAATCCAATAGAATATCCACTACCTTCATCAGGAATTCCTTGGTTGCTGGATAACCTTCGGCATTCTGCGGCAGGATATCTGAGAGCAACAAAATTGAGTATTGTAGTAATAGATGTCTAACCATTCTTTGGATTTCTACATTCTTGTCTATACAGAGATTCTGTAACATATTGTTTTCTTAGTATCTTCGAAATTATTATATAAAATTGTTTCTTCTAGGTATATACTGCAAATATTGAACTGACGAGATACATTCTACCTTTCACTGAATTTTATTCAGTGATAATTTTTTACAATCTAACTATCTAACTTTAACTATCTAACTATCTAATCTAAACTAACTTTACAATCTCAGAGATATTATATATTTTCTCTCTGAATCTTACAATTCCAAGAGCGTTATAAGTTTAATTCGTTATAAATGCTTGGAAATATATATAAATATATATTCGTTGAATATTCTTGTAAATATCGTAAATATAACATTAACATTCAGAATTGTAACATTTGAATGTTGCTATAAACACGATTCATCGAATTCTTATTCTTAATTGTATAATTTCGAAGATACCAAAAATGTTGTTAAATCATACAAGCTACGACACTGATCGAAGTAATTTGAATTTAATGAACCGTAAGTGGTGGCTAATTGCCTATTGGCAACTCTCTAATTGTTATAATCAAGTGAAATCTCTTCTACGACAGCGACACCGATCGATTTGATTACCATTTTATCGAGCGTCCGTCTTTTCCTTGGCGCTCCGTCGCACAGTGAGCCCGATCGCGATTTTAACGGACCAAAAATAGAACGCACTTCGTGCAAGTCCAATCAGTACCTTTACTCGTTCCAAAATTCATTGAATTGAAGAAAAAGTTCAACGTTTCTTTAACGGCTCGTTATTATAGTTCTAAATACAGGTTTTTCTTTTTTAGTAGGATTTTATATTTTTCTCATTAAATTCTAGACGTTATATTTTTAAATATGTAATGGAACTTTGGGATTAGCTCAATTCCTACCCGTGGCAGACATTTTTCTTCCTTAAATCTCATCGTGTTATTAAATAATCACAATTTTTGATATTACTACCAAGCGAGCGAGAACGGGCCGCTAAAATCGAACTAAGTGTAATTTGTACTACATACTGCATATTTGCAAAGTTTTTTTGCAAATATGATTGTTCCGAAGATTTTGATATTAATATAACGTTATGATATTTTTCGTCCCTTGTTTTACTGGGAGTACCTATAAGGACGAATTATTTAATAAAGCGTACCTTCTTGATTACAATTCATGTTCTGTCGAAAAAATCCTTAAGTCGTAAGACAAGTTTAGAAAATGTAAGAACAGCACGAATGTTAAACGAATACTGCCCTACGTGCGAGAGATTAAAAAAATTATAGTTTGATTGTTCATATCTGTGCTCTCTTGACTCTGTTATCCATATATTTGTTAATTTATCCGGCATACTACACAGACTTGAAACAGACGTTTATCTCTTACGCAGAGTACAATTTGTTGTCGGACCTTTGACCCGCTGGAATCGCGATCGGGCCCACTATGCGCCGTTTCGACCTACCGCCGGCTCTCCTTCGCAGAAAACGTCAATTATTAGAATGATTTCACCTCATCAAACAATTGAAAGTATAGACCTATATTGACACACTCTCACTTGTTTGGTGGGATGACACCATCTCACATCGTCATCATCTCTTCATCTTCTTCTTCTTTTTCTTCTTCGTCTTCCTCTACGTGTCATACCAGTGACGAGTGACTTGTTTTGCTATTCAGGAACATTCATGCAATAGTCATTCATCGTACTACACGAAAATGCATATAATACAATCATGAGTACAGATACACTGAAAATATTTGTCTTCCAAAAATTTGTGACGTTGAATTTAAAGGAAGATGGAAGATGGGTAAATTAAGAGATAGAATTTTATTGTGACTGGAATTTAAAATGTAAACTTTACCTCGAGTAATTTGATTATCTTATGGCTCTGGTTTGACGCAGATAACAAAAACTATTTACAGTAGGACATTTCAATGTGCTCGTGGTAAATCCTTGGTAGATTGAACTGTCTTTTAGTCCCTGGGTAACCATAAAGCATCCTGTGGAATAAACCACCCTTCGTTTCCCATTGCATTAAGAAGATCCCATGGATAAACAGACCAGAAATTCGCTAGTATTTATGTTTTAAAGTCACTGTTTTTCTGTTATCTGAATAGAATGAAGGAATACTGAACTTCTTAATAGAAAAATCTTGCTTGAAAAGATGATCATTTCAACTCAAATTCAATATGCTTTATATTCCAACTTAATTAATACGAGTATATCGGTTCTCAAGTCATTTAAATTTGGAAAAATTGTCGTTCAAAAGTTACGTTAGTTAGATTTTACGATAAACATATATTCAGAAAGAGTAGTATAAAGCTATTCTAAAGGAGCAAGTGTATTTTTCAATAATCACGAGAACGATGAATGAGAATCGAATGGGAAAAGGAGGGAGCGTGGAACCTTATGGTGAATCGTTCTGAGCCCATGGTTAGACAAGAGAAATCCCTGGCTTCCAGAGGCTCTGCTTCAGCTAATCCAGCTCTATCAATCTAACGTCTGAAAAGACCGTCAAAGTCTCCTTTTTTCGAGTTTTATGGCGCTTCCGATAGAACTACTCATCAGACTCGAATGTTATTCAATCGATAGTGAAAACAATGTACACAGAGGAATAAAGTTAGTAATTACCGTTAAATCGTGCAAGAGACGGAAGCATCGAATACATGCTGTTTCGATTGGCTGAATTACAGATTCTAGCTTGATCTACGTGGAACTCGTACGTCGTTTGGCACCAGATGTACGGAACCCTCTATTCGTGGCTTTAATCAAAGCGCCTTCTAGGGGTTGTTACACGGGGCAATTAGTTCTGGCGATTTATAAGCAGGATTACGGGGTTAATTTATAGTAACGAGTCGGAAGAAACACGAGGCTACTTGAGTTCCCGATAAAATTTTTCTAGGCAATCAAAATTATAACAAAATTTCTGCAATAAAAAGATCTATAATTAACTTCTATCAAAATTTTAATAAGTTCGACGAATTGAAAATCGATTCAAGAGATTACAGTTACGTTTCTACAATAAATCTCTACTGTTATCTAGTATCAAAATCCTAAAATATGTCAACTAAAATCGACTCATTTTTTGACTAGAAAAATATTAACCGATCTTTTTTATTTTTTTTAGCTTGGAAGCTGCTCTTATCGGTATCTAGCACTTGGCAAAGTGTAAACAGATTCCCTACAACAAACCCTTCCGCCCTTTCTGTGGCGTGTAATCTGTCCTCAGCCACTCGTCGTCTATGAGCCTCTTCAAGCCAATTCTAAATCCTCTATTATTATGCACCCTTCCGAACCTCGCGAAATCAGGGCAATATTGTGACTCCCGGATTTCATTCTCGAAAAGCCAAGGCTGCTTCCACACACGAGGAGATGCTCCGAAACAACTTTAGAAACAATAATTTGCTTGGATTCGCAATGACGCAGTAGAATATTGGCCAGTAGATACGGAACGTATCTGGTCAGACATAGAGTAAATTGGATGCGCGAGACACTAGCTTCTGTCGTGCAACAATCTGACTTTTGTTATCGCTTTTCCAGCTATACGCTACGATATTGGCATGCATTATTGTAGTTTAACATAAACAATTAAGGGAAAGTTTGAAAAGATACAATATACATGTAGGAGAAGCTAAGGTTGTGGTTACATTAAAAGGAACACTTGTAGCTCGTTCTATTAATTTCACATAAAATTTCTGAAGAACAGGACATGCTGTGATATTGAAAAAGTTCTGAGAAAACATTTTAATAAAACTCACCCGAATATTTCAAGTTACAGTGCTCCCTAGAGAGCGAGTACGTGTTTTCGGAACTCATTAGTCTGGTCGGTGAGTGTGTCCGGGCGAAATTCTGAAATTTACAATAAATACCTGTACTTATTGAACTACATGGATATATATTTCGTAACATTCACCACAAAAATTACCGACATTTCTTAGAGAATCTAACGAAATCTGTTGATGAAAGAAATTGGTGGTAGTGAAAGCTCATAGAAGGTACGGATGCATCCGTTCTCAGGCAACGATTACAAAAATTACTATCTTTCTTAAGGAAATACTACTAAAAGGAACCAAAGAAACAGAATAAATGAACAGCTACCGTAACGATAAACGATCATAAAATGACGAGATCTAGAGACAGACACGATGAATGACATGAAACGAGATGGGAATGCCTTACATATAAGTATTCCTTGATCGCTGTGATTTTAGTGCCGATCATTTGCACATTGTCCATGTCTCTGCTTGTGCCCCTCGCCTCAGTCCCTACAACAATCAACAACAATGTCCGCTTCAGTGTCGAACTTTTCGAACAACACACTTTCGCGCTTTTTCGTATCTTTTTTATTATCCATAGCGAGAGCCTGACAGAAATTGCGCAACTGCGAAGCGAGAATTATTAAAAAATACGCCGAAAGAACACGGCAGGCCGAGCGACCAAAGAAACATGGACAGAGAGCATTGTCTGTTCTTTTTCGTTCTGATTTCTTTTTTTCTTTTCGTTTTGCATTTATTTGTCAGTGAACTTTCAACTTCAGGTTCTTTGAAATCGTATCGTTGCTCTCTGAACCGATCGACTGGTCCTTGGAGCGTGAGAAATGTAAGCGATAGATCATCCTCCAGAAATTAGAAACTACGGATCACTCTACTGAGAGAGAGTAATTCAAACGTGGCAAGAAACGATTACGTAAGGAGGAAGATAGTGCAAGCTAGTAGAGAATCGTGCAGCTTTCATTCAGATTTTCCGTATGTATGGTATTTGGTGATTTATGCCGGGGGAAAAATATAGCGGTATCCAGGCATGTAGAATTTTTATGTAGAATACAATTCTAACGAAATGTAGCATATTGTGATAAAATAGATAGAGTTAATAATATTAGAAGTACGTACGATGTATGTTTCTATACGTGTAGATAATAAAATACAAAGTCTTCTAGAATGTACAAAGTTTCTAGAATCAGGTATGGATTAAAGTCTTTTAGAAAATAGGATAATATTATACTATTCGAATTATTCGTCAGATTTTGAATAAATCCATTCACGGGATACATCACAATGACATTGAGAAGAACGAATGGAGCGAGAATGAGTTATGCGTGAAAGCGACATGTAATTCGAAACAAGAACCGAGAGGGTTTCAAAAAAACATTACCAAATTCCACAACAATCCCAAAAACATAATTCTTCCATTACCCCAATAGAAACCACCCTTGAAGAAATACAGTTCTATTTTCAAAACCCTCTCGTGTATCTTTAAACGACTAAAACTGAAGAAAGCGAAGATGATCAAGAAGAGAAACGGTTGCAACGAAACTCGTATTACCAAGGAAGTACTCACCGATTCCTTGCTATCTCCTCGTGGGATAGTTGAAGTACGAATACTTCGATCTCGCTCGCGCTCGCAAGGGGATGAAGCTGTTGTAAACGGTAGAGAAGGACTGGAGGATGGATCGACGATAGACTGGTGAAGCGACGACGGGCTTCGGGGTGGTTTCCAAGGGACTGCTTCCAGCCGAAAACGCCTGGACGACTCTCGAGCCTCGGCCTGACTCGGCCTGCCTCGAGTCTGCCTGACCCAGTTTCTCTCTCTCGTGCAACCCACGCAACTACCCCAGCTGGCGGGGGTTGTTTTCACGTGGGCGGAGCTCGAAACGTCGTCGTATGCACAGGGTTGAAAGGGACCCGCGTACGAGGGTGGTTACGTAGGCGTGCCGAACTCTAGCCAATCCCTGTTCGAACGTCATGCTGACGTCAGACAGTGGTATGACGTATCGTTCGTCGCTCTCCTTTATCTCTGTTTCCTCTCTAGCCTCGAAGGCAGATACGAGGACTCCACCGCGTGCGGTTTTCGCCACAGAGATGCCTGTGCACTGTCTCTCCTTTTATATGTTTACGAATGTACTCCAAATGTGGAACCGATAGGATCCAAGAGAGCTGCTTAGCCGCGAAATCTCCGGCACGCTTGCCCGTTAGCCGAGATACACGCTGGAGGGACAGTATCGGAGGTACTCGAGCTTTTCGAGCAGGGCTCCTCCACATCGTTTGAGCGCCACTCGTTATCGACAACGTGTGAAATTATTCAGCTAGCGAACAAAGGAATCACCTGTGAAAATCCTGCGAAATGTTATCGTGTGCCGGCAGGTTAAAATAAACCTTCGTTCTTTTCCTACTGTATCACCTAATATTGTTGAAGATATTTTTTTAGTAACGCGTTGGAAGTACTTCTATATTAATTTGAAAATTTCTCTAGAAAGTAGGAAAAAATCTTCTGGGAAAACCCTCGTTAATTTGGGATTCTAGGAAAAGAAAGCCTTGAAATGGATTGAGAAATAAAATGTTTGTATAATATCATTATAATATGCATAATTGATTGATTTGCTATCCTAGAAGAAGAAACTCTCGAAACGGATCGAAAAAATGATTTACGATATAACAACTACACGGTCCTATAAATATTAATACGAATTGTATTGAACGCTTGGAATAGAAATTATATTCTGGAATATCGGTGGATTCTTGGTCACGAGTATCCTGAGGAATTCAAATCATTCTCTGCTTAAAGAGATTGGAATCGTTGCCGATGAAGCTTCCTAAGAATTCACGGCGCGTCCGTGACTCGTTCGACTCCTACGTAGAATCTCCGATTCTTGACGTCGGATGTTTCAGCATCCAGCTGCGTTTCTTAGACAGAGAAGCAACGGTGCGACGCGAAAGAGACGCAAAAAATTTGATTGCCGATTTCTTTCGCGAAAAATGTCGCGACGCATGCGTCTCGTGGCTGGAGTTTTCGCCGCGCGAGGGTTGAGGTCTTTCCGACCGAAAGGGGAAAGAGAGGAAACGAGGGATACACTTCGAGAGAATGACAAGCGGAGGAAGAGGAAGAAACGTAGAGGTTAGGCGAGGTTATAGGGAAGGGTAGGAAGGACAAAATGGACGGCAGCCAATCGGATGGCGGGACAAAATGGCCGACGGTGAATTTAATCAATACTTCCTCCGTCCTTCGTGAGAGGGTGGAGGACAGGACAAGACCCAGAAACTGCCAGGAACGTAACAATCCATCGTCGAGTGTACGTATTCGCATCATTGAGGTCGATACACTTAGTTCCTTGCCTCTATGTTCCTCAGACACCCGTTATATGTACTAGAGAATATGAGTTCTTCTCCTTCGCTAACGATCCCCCTTGTTTTTCCATTGTAGTTACTTGTTTTTGTGTAAAATCGTCAGTAAAGTGCATTCTGAGAATGAAGGGTTGGTCAATGAGAAGAGTATATAAGTTGATCTCTTTTCATTTCTTCTTTCTTTGATAATTTGGAACGTTCTTCATTTAAGTATGTAGTTGAAGGCTCTCTAGCTGCGATGCCGATTATCTTGTTACGGGAAGAACATAACGAGTCTCGTAATGATAAAATTTCAAGTGGTAGTTATCTATTATTTGTTGAGAACGTAGTTGACGATTTTTTTAGTAATTAGTACATCGAATCTGGTAATTACCTAATTAGAGTTTTAGTATTACCTACTTGAGAAAACAGTTAGCTTCGTTAAAAATATTCGAAAACTGCTCTAAACCTTAAATTTGATATTCAGAAGGAGATTTAATTCGATGAATGGACCAAAATAGTCTTTGGATAATTGAAAATTCATACGATCGGATATAATACTTAAGAGCAATTACGTAAACATCAATTGATTTGAATATTCTTATATTCCTTCACGAATATTCGGGCTCGAACTCAAAAGTTAAAAATTCAATTAGACAGAATCATGGTGACATTTCAATATATCAGAATAAGGGTGTCATTGTACGAGAAATCGATTTGGAATTTGGTGGAAGGAGATTCAACAGCTTCTCGCGTCTGTTACTTCGCACAGAAAGTTTAAATTGAAACGATGCAGCCCGGAGGTACCGGGAAAAGAATTCTCGGATGCCTCGGGATAAATTTCTTGACGGTGCTATCGGCCCAGAGAATGCAAATTACTTGTGTCCAAGTTCCTCCTCCGCTGTTCCTGAGGGCTGTTTTCCACTTTTTCTCGCTTTGTCTTTACGTGAAAATCATGAAAGTACTATCTCGATGAAACAGATAAAGTGCGTGCTCATTTTCTGATAACACTGGCGCCGTTATGAATGTTACATTGTTTATTTGATTTAGAGAGACGTCGATATGAAATGCGTTAAATTTTTAATCCTTGATACTGCAGGAACGCGATATGTCGTGTATTATCCTGTATTATCTACGAATATCAATTTTGCGACGAATTTTAACCCTGGAATATTATAGGAAGGTATTGTATTATTCCTTATTTTTTTAAAATAGAACATAAGAAATGTTAATTATTACTATAAGTTATGATTTGATAAACTGTTGAGTAGTAAAGGTACGCTTGTTAGCTGTTATGCTAATCAAATTACGTTTTTAAATCATCTATTTTTACTTATCTTCATAGTTAGAATATTTAATTTCCCGATGTAGATAATGCTATCCGGAAATTATTTTGAATTAAATTTAACGCAGGCATATTTTTCTACCATTATATAATTTCTCAATTTGATGAAAATATGAAGAAATCATTAAAATTTTACGTTAGTATACACGAAACGAATTTTACATTCAAATCTTTTTTAATCATCCAGGCCCCTTTATTTCTTCAAACAAAAATAAAATATTGACATAAAAATTCGAAGAGCGTGATAGGAATAATTGATCTCTCAGTATCATAAAGATACACTGATAAAAAACCAACAAAATAAAAAATAATATAATAGTTAAATGTTTTAATTTTTCAATTGAATATGAAAAGACTATTCATAAATGTTGAAGGTATTTGTTAAGTATACCAATTTTTACATTTATTCCAGCGAATTAACTAAACACAAAGAATAGACAAGGGTCAAAAAAAAAAAGTAACTTTCGATCAAATATGCTGAATCTATACAAATTACAACGACAATGATTTATTTCACTGCTCATAAGGACAACATTTTGCTAATAAATAAGACATGATTGAAACGCGACAACGATCGATACTCGACGTATGAGACGTAGTATGTATCCCCCGCGTTTGCCAGTACGTGCATACGCGAATGGGTTACGCGTGAATGTGAATATTCATGGTGGCAGACTACGAGCTCGTTTGTCTCGTGAAATGAATTTCGAGTAACCTAGATTGAAAACCTGGCGTAGTTCGTCCACGCATTTATCTCGTTGCGAGGTCATTTTTCATTCGAAAGCTCGATGTCTGGGAAAATATAAATGCCAAAGGGACGAGTCGCTTCAAAATTTTTATTCGCCGGACACGAGATATTGCCCCTATACCTTGGAATTGAAAAATTCCACTTGTAACGTCGAGGAAAACATTTGTCACAAGTAAGCATTATTTAATTCGTATTATCACGGAGATCTTACATTTTTTCTGTTGCGTCGTTTCAGATTATCGTTATCAGCATCTCGTGATAACGTCCCATGGACGACGAATATGCCTAAGTTTAAAGTAACATGACAGAAAATTGTACTCATAATGATTTTCATCCTGTCGTATATATCATTTCACAAGTATTAAAGTTTTACGATATTATCGCAATTATTACACCGTATTACATCATTTCCTTATGAATGAAGATAAGAAAATAGAAAAAGTTAATCCCACGCGATACTCAACTTCTTTCACGTTTCTAATAATCTCTGTTTCTTGTCTCCAGTAATCTGATTTCATTGGTTATCGTTATTACGTAAACGTAATCATTCATCATTGACACAAGATACAGGTAATTTAATCGCCCTCGTTCATGTACTGATTCCTTGTATTTACGATTGCACTCCTGTTTCGTACTTTACAAGGAAAAGATTGAAATTGCTTGGAGTACGCGATTATCGGTAAGACCCAAGGAATACCAGGAATAAGCATTACATGAACTTTTATAGATAATCGATCGAAGTCTATAAGATCGAGTGTTCAGACTGTTTCCATGAACAGATGGATAGGATTTACGTGTTCCTCGAATGAATATGAGTGTCTTCAATAGGTCAGTGACCCTTTAAGAAAAGAAACGAACGTGAACGGAAAAGTATCCGCTGTGTTATCTTTCATTACGCTCCTTGGACACGTTTGTCCGTAATCAGTCTGTACCAGTTGATACAGCCAATGATAGTTAATGCGATACATACTGTTGGTGATCAAACAGTCGAGCCAGTGGCGTGCGTCGTAAAGCTTCAAATCTCTCATTCATTTCGCGCGATCAAGCTGTTGTCGGATCATAAAGTCTTCTTTCTAATTTACGTTTAATGTTAAAGGTAAGTTATCATTTTATGCCTTTTACATTATAGATATTTGGCTTTGAAACGCTGTTATTATCGAAAATTATTTATTATTGTTATTTTTCGAATTGAATCATGCAGAGGATAAATTCGATAATTTTATGAAAGTTAACTATTTGATTTCTGAAGGATTAACACTGGTACTATTAATAAAGAAATTATAAGATTTGTACGAAACAGATATAAATTTGGAACAAAGAAATATAAATTTAGAAGCCTATGGAGGAATATGTAATTGAAAGAAAAAACAAGCTTCCGTTCGTGCATTCTACAAATTACGATACAATCACGATACAAGAATGCAAAAATTTTGAGTAATATAGTTTGTGAAGTACAATCTTTAATTTACATAAATTCAAAAAAACAAATAGTCAAATTTCTTTTCAATATCGCCAACATGTTCCGGTTTTAATAACAAAAGAGGAAGAAAACAGGGTCGTTCTGATTCACGAAATAAGCTCACAAAGTCCTTTGTCAGGAGTAGATTTCAATTTCTGCGTGCCACATTCTCGACACAAAGGAATCTCAATGCTGGCTTCACGATCCCAGCAATCGCCATCGATTATTTTTATTCGTTAAACTGAAAAGCAATTGGTATATCTCTTCTGTGTCATCGCGTGTTTGCTATTATGTCAATTAAAATAAAAATGCCAGAACTTGTAGCTTCTATCGTTTAATTAAAATTAAAAATTGTACCGTGCACGCTACTGCACATGGAATCGATCGCGGTTTTTGTGCGAAGAAATTCTTCGGTTTCCATCGAGCTTCTACTCGTAAATCATCGACGCGAGAAAACCTTCGAAACAACTTAGGAAATAAAGGCTTACCGATTATCTAAGAAGGCACGAGCCCTTGATGACAATTAGTGGAATTTTAGTAAAGTTTGCCCGTTCCAAACTGGGGACGACCGCACCAGTTATCGACATACGGCACCCAAAACCGATAACGGATACCAAGATCCTGGTATTACTCACTCCGCGTGCCAACGAAGCTTCTAGGATATAGTGTGTCTCGTGATACCCGAATCAATCCATTATTCGACGAAGAAATTCGACGATCGAAAACAAAAGAACAATCTCCTTTTAATCGAAACATACTATTGTTCGTTGCTTTTCCAAGAATCTCAACTCCAGATCGTATCGTTTCAGAATTTCAGATATGTGTCTTAATCGTCAAGAGAAATTATTGTCAAATTCCAAAATATAATTTTAATTTTAATTCAATTTTACTGTTTGGATACTTTCATAATCGAGGAGTTTTTTGAAAAAAAATGTTAAAAGATAAAGCTATGAATTAGATAAATTGCTAGTATTTGTGTTTTAGTGTTTTAATATCATCTATATTTCAATTGATGATTATACTAGTTGTTAAAAATTTGTATTCCTTTTATATTTAGAAAAAAAATACAAACTCTATAATAATTGTGAATTGTTATGTAACCAAAAATCTGCATGCTTGTTTGGAACGCTCTTTAATTTTAGACATCGACTTTAATCATTAAGAAACAATGATCAGTTCTAAAGTTAAAAAAGCTAAAGTTCTAAGTTATACAAACAATCTTCTGTTTGTTTTTTATCTAAGTATTTATACTCCAAACTATTCACTTTGATCGTTAAAAAATGATCATTATACTCGCAAATATATGGAGAACCGTCCTCTTTTCCTAAAAATTTCAACTTCAGCTCGTATCCTATCAATACTTTTATATTTTAACGCATCCACTCAAGCCACTCAAGATATAATGGCAAAAGCCATCTTCACACAATTTCTACTCGCCTTCTTCCCAGAAATTCCCTCTACTACATGCACTATGTAACGCGAGTCACCCTGTATATCATTTGGAGACATACCAGAAGAGAAAGAGAGCTGCAGGAAATTCCCGATTGTCATAACCAATCCCTCCGATTCCTCCTCCGGCGGCTATCGGAACGCGGCAAGTTCCTCGTTTGCTTTCGTATTGATTAGCCATCACTTTCAGATGACGCCTCTACTTCGGTGGGTGTTGCTGGCGTTGCTGTTGGCCATGGTGGTCGCGCATCCGGTCGAGCACGCATGCGTTTATCTCTGCCGTGCACGGAACACCAGCCCCGAGATTACGGGAGGCTGCGAGCACCAGCAGAAACTCGTTCTTCAGTCCAGCGGAGGCCGGTTCCCGATTCACCGTCTCTTCAGGCTCTGCTTGACCCCGTGTCATGGTTCGTCGGATTTGCTCGTCTTCGACAACACCCATACCTGTCGTACGTTTCGACAGACGCTTATCCAGTATCACGGCTGTTCCTGCGACGACGTAAATTATGGCGAAACAAGGAATAACCAAGAAGATCCTTCGACAGTCAAGAAATTCGAAGAGGATCAGTTGAAGGGGACCGATGTAACGAGGATGTTGGAGAAGGCGGGCGAACAACAGATTGTTCGAGGTCAAAGTTTAAAGACCAAAGATGTTCGTCGATACATCACGGAGATCAAAGTGGAAAAGGATATAATCCAAGCAGACTTTAAAGATACCGACAATTTAAATAAAGCAGAATCTGAAGAGACATCTAAAGATGCTGCTACTGGTAATTTAGAGAAACCAGGCTCCAAAGATGATGCTTCTCGCACGGAAGATTCCACGGATGAAACATCTGTAGACTGGGACCGATGGTGTATGAACCAATGTGACAACGGTAAGGGTGGAAGCGCTTGTAACTGTGACATAATACCGTGAAGAGGAAGATGGGCTTCCGGACGATGAAGGCAGCAGATTTACGAATTTACATATCTCGTAGGTTAGTCGGAACAATGGTACCGATAGATATAAGGTTAGTTTCTTTGATTGATAACACGTAAACACCGTTTATTTCGTGTACCTTTCTTTCTTTTCCTAATCTATGTATATTCCTCGATAATCCTCGTCGGGGCGAGATTCGATCGTATATTACGATTCATGTATGCAATTCCAATAATCGCGATCGGCGGATAAGAAAAGAGTATTTCGTGTCTTTTATCTGAAGATGCTTTCGACCCAGCTGCTCGTTGTTAATCTACCGATCAACGAGATATCGACAAAGTATGACTGTAGTGGAATATTTTTTTCGAAACGTTCGCAATCTGCGATTATCGGTCTTTAGATGGCTTAATTGCTTTCCTAGGCTTAAGAGACTTCTTTAGACGCTAGGTCCGGTTCACGCGCTCAACGGGGGGAGCTTAACGACCAGAGAAAAAACTTTTTATCAGACCGCAATAGAGGGATTTTCTTCGAGACAAAGGAGGCTTTTCGTTGTCACGAATTATCGACCGTTCTCCACGATAAAAATCACACATCCTTCACACGGTATTTACAGTTCAGGGAAACCATAAAGAACACTGTGAGCATCGTTCTAGAGGCGTGTGAACAGGACAATAAAGTGCAATGTGTGTATTATGCAATAAACGATATTTATACGTGGCAGCGGTGCAACAAACGCGTGCACCCGCGCGTCGATATACGTCTAGTTTCCTAAGATTTCTTCTAGTTGTAATAAATAATCTTTTACACAACGCCGGCGTATCTTAATTAATAATGCTGTATTTAATATTAGGATATCAATAGTTTAAGGTATTTGTTAAGGGAAATGAAACAAAATCCATGTCTTCCAATTTCGTAGTTTCCTTCATACTTCGCGTATAATCGAGCCTCGAACATGATCGGATGTAATAATCCGACAGGCGAGCAGAACAATGCAAGCATGCGAGTACTTGTTGTAGTTGTTATTTAGGTGATTATTTTTTGAACGCGATCACGTTCCGGTTCGAGGGAAATCGATGGTGATTGTAAAACGATTCTTCGGGTTCCTTAGAACAAAACGTTCATTTCGTTCATTTTATATAGTGTGCCGTTCAAAAAAACGTTGTGACGCGACAATAAGACGTAGATTCTAGTATGCCTGTGCGATGCAAAACTTTGTCTTTCGCGCACTTTCGACACATACATCTATCTGTTAAAGAAAAAAGAAGATACAGCTAAAATGTATTTCTATATGAATCATGCGTCCTTACGTTATAATAAATACGGCGAACAGTAAAAAATTGGTTTTTCTGTTAGGATCGATCTACACATTGAAATAGTTCGGGTAATAATAGTAGGAAATGCGCGAAAGACTCGACTTCAGCAATTTATTATCTGGGCTATGTAATAGTTGTAAGTGAAGTAATTGCTTTGTAAATATAAATACGAATAATCGGAAATTTTATTTAACTAACGATATAATATCGAGGAGTCAAAACTTGTGGGGTACCAATTTACAAATCTAGAATATAATCTGCACAATTTAATCGTTGTTAACGTTTACATGGAGTTATTGTATTCTGATATGTACCTACACGTAAAAAATGTATGTGGTTGTTGCCGGTAAGCAGTCATGGAAAATAATTAAGCGATATTATAATTATAATTATATTAATATTATTAGTATTAACGAATATTACGCTCAAAGGCTCGTTTATCGGCATATTTACGAGTTAATCCGTGTCTCTAATATATTTGTATTATTTATGTTTGTGATTGTACATTATGTATATATCGTATAAGTAAATAATCTTTGCATTATGTTTTGTCATACGATAAATAAAGAATATTGTAATCTAAACGATACACTTTTAGATAAATTCTCGTAAAGTTTGAAGTGTATTAAAAAACATTATTTATAATTTCGAAGAATATTTTCCTCAAGCTAAAAATTGGAAAATGATCGGTAAGAGATAAATGCAAAAGAAATTTATAGATTCCTTCTTTATCATCTACAGCTTGTTCAGACAATTGAAGATAATTTATCGACATTTACCTACTGTAAATCTTCGTGTTATCAGCTCAAATGCGTGGTTTCTGTTGAAATATCAGGTCCCTTCTATATCGTCTCTGTTCCACATGTCCGTGCTTCAGTGTCACGATGTATCCACTGGCGAGATACAGAATAGACGTGACATGCAATGCTTTTTCGAGTTCTACGTTTTGAGGGTCAACCTGACATTATCGATTCAATATAATATTGGTTTGGTATATATATAATACTCGACTGTAGTGTCTCCATTGACTAATTCTGTACCTCGTCGGTTGTATCGCGATAAAATGTCTAATGTCTAATCAATGATCGCATTCTACTATTTCTTCGGTAGATAACGCAGAAATTTAAAGATAAAAATAAGAATTTTCTAATCATCAATCGGTCAAATAGGACATTAATAAAAAATTATCCAAATTATTAATTTTTACTCAGCTTACACCAATATTGGAATATTTTTAAAAAATATTAACGTTTCTGAACAAATTTTCCATCTATACTCACAAAAGTTTCTATGAAACTTTTACATTCATAGTTTTGTAGAAGAAAAAAAAGGAAATAGTACATTTAGCAATATTATGTTACAAAATGATGAAACAATGTTTTACAAAATTAAATGCAATATATAATAATATTGTAACCTGAGGTAACATTATTCATTTTGTTTTTATATCTATATAAAATATCTTCTGTGTCGTAAATAGATCGTCATTTCCCTTGGGGTAAAAGGTAATCAGGAGTGTCTGTAATTAAGTTTCGTACGCTATTGCTTGTAACATTGTTCTATAACAATATTACAGCACATATCTCTGTGTGTAGTCTGGCTTCTTATAAAAGCCGAACCTTCTTTCGGAAACAGCAGATCACAGTCATCCTTCTCTCCAAGAAGATCTTCCAGTTCTAGGTAAGATTAGAAATACATTATTATTATTATACTATAGAAAATAAAATTTCTTTACATTCTGGTGTAAGAAAAATTCAGATAGCTGTCTTGAATCATTTCTAGAATTTCCCACAAATGTTCAAACTTACATTCTATTCTTCTTTTATAATTCATGATTTTTAAATTCTGCGTTTTAAGTTTCATATAAATGCTTGCATATCTTTCTATTGTTTCCACTGATTGTCGTCGTTGTACGAGGAATTTGAACATTACGTCGAATCGATACATCCTTAGACAAACTTCTTGGTGAGTTCACTTGCAAATAATGTAGGCCATCTGTACTTGATAGGCACATTTGTCTTCGGTTCATTTCTCTACTATAAAAGCTCCGAGCTTTTGCCTTATTTGCAACATTCGCTGACCAACTACCGTACAAGTTCTATCGTTTCCACATTTGTAAGTAAACTGACCATTTCTATATAAGAACTTTTCCCTTATATATTAAACAATTCTATTTGGCAAATTTTACTCCCTGTTCCATGTTACTTTTAGTTTCTTCTTCCTATACGATATTCTTAGTTTATCAAATAGTTGTCCTTTTAATTTTAAGCAGTCTACAAATCAAAACCGTCAGAATGATGTCCTTCCGCTTCGTTCTTGTCATCGTCGTTGTCGCCTTCATCCTCGCCATCGCCGTGGATGCCGCCTACAGGAAGCCTCCCTTCAACGGAAGCATCTTCGGCAAGCGATCCAACGCTATCACTGGTAAAATAAAAATTTACAATATCTTTTAATTATTCTATAAAGAATGAGAAGTGTTTCTGTTTCTAGAACTTCGCGATTAAGAATTTTTCAGATTTCTTTTATGCTCTTCTAAACTCCAATAGTACATTTTATTTTATATTTATCCAAACTCTGAATTTTATATTATTCTTTCGTTCCATCAAATTTTCATTTATATAATTTTTAATATTTCTTTGTATTTAAATTCTTATACTAATTCTTATCTTATATTTTGTCTCTTTCGATCAAATTTCATCTGACACCCCGCTACCTTTATCTTACGTCTAACCGTATTGAATTTCCATATTATTCTGTCGTTTCCCTGACAATTTCTATCAAAAATGATATTTCTGCATGGAATGTTCCATAGATTACGAACTCATCAGCCGAGCCATGTCATCGGTCTGCGAAACCGTCAGCGAAACATGCAACGCCTGGTTGGCACGTCAGGACTCCAACTAAAAATATTGAAAACGCCAGGGTTCACTTGAATGCGCCGAATGCTAATATTTATTGCTTGATCATTTCATCGACGTGTAATACATAGATAGCCAAACTATGTCAATGTCTAGTTCAACAATCACTCTGACGCTTCGAGATTCGTCGCATCGTCCAAATCACTCGCCGTCTTGTAATTATATCGCTTAGATTTCAATTAATCTCGTTGTATACATGTTTCTGATAATACAATATAATAAAATCTAATGTTTCCTGACATTTATTCGGTGGTTTGATAATTTCCATCTTTGTAACTTTTATGTAAAATTCGTATGTCCAGATGTTTCTTTTATTTTTTTTTAAGAAATCGACAATTTTATTTAATTTTTATTTAATTTTAATTATTGAATTTTATTTAATTATATTTATTTATTTAATTGAATAATATATAATATTTATAATATTTATAATATTTATTTAATATAAATATTGTTATTATTATTTTAAATATTATATTATTATTATAAATATTAACTTATAATATGTATTGAATTGAATAATTATTTAATATTTATTATTGATAATTTACAAGTGTTAAGAATGTACATTAAAGTTTACATTTGCACGCATTAAACATTCCATGTTGCAAAAATGGATGAATTTGTCTCTTACTTTATGATTTCTGAATTCTATATAGAGCCAAATCATTTTATCTGATTATTGAAAATAAATTTAAAGAATGCGTCTTTTCGAGAAAGTGTCCAATTTTAAATAATTTACGTAGCAAGCAGAGGTTCAACCAAACTATCCAATATCTGAAATGCAGATCGAACGATTCGATATGGGGAGCACGTATCACTCACCTGGTGGAATAAGGGTTACGCTTACGCGTGGACAAAGACAGTTTCCTAAAAACAAACAGGAAAATAATTGCCTTATAAATCAATGACTTCTTGAAATTCACGATAATTTAATCTTTAATACATCCATTAAAAATGTCATCGATAAATTTCAACAGCGTATTATCCTTTTACAGAGATATATTATTAATAACTAAAACATCTTATTACGTTAGTAATAACACAACATTTAAATTTCTATCCTTCACTCGTGTTCTCATTTTAGCAAACAAGAAGGTTTTCAGCCTTTTGAGAAAAATTTCAATCTAAAATTAAAACCAAATAAGGATCATTCGTAATTATATCATCATTATTAAATTATAATAAAACAATTTTTGAATATTTTCCTCAAACTTAATACACTTTTCAACGACAGATGAACACTATTGAATAGAGAATTAAGAATTAATCATTAAATATTAGGTCGTCCAAAAAGTTTCTTTCATTTTATAAGGAAATAATGGATGCACAATATTTTCCATTTTATATTATTTTATCGAATTACGTACGATCCATTTTGTTCTATCAAAATGAAGATCACAACGTTCGACTGATTAGGTTTCATGTTTGTATAAAGATGCATCGTTGTAAAAGACGGGTCTGTAAAAGAAAGACATTTTTCAGACAACCTAATACTTCCTATATAATACGCGAGTTATTTAATTCCAATTACAATAAGACTGTTGAAGTGGTTACCACTTCTAAGAAAACTCTACATCTGGTCTTTTTAGTTTTCTCAAGCACTGAAGCCATCGACAGCGTGTAGACGAAAGACTGCGACGAAGTCAGGCCATAAACAGTAGACAGGCGACGTTGGCTTCGGGGGTTTTCAGTTATTATGTAACACAGCTTTTTCAGTTATTAGCTTCGGGGTTTTTCAGTTATTATGTAACACAGCTAGCGTGCGGATCTGGACCAGCTCAAATTGTATTTTTACTTATTACACTTCTATTTAAATATATTTTCTACCTTACAATTTATCCACGTGTTTTCTCTGTTTACACACCGAATAATCTCAATAAAGACGATAAAAAAAAAAAACATTGAAATCTGGAATGAGAAGATTTGACGATCAATTTAAAATACAAATTTCCAATCTCAGAAAATCTTCGCGGTATACTCGAAACGTAAGCGACGGTTCAAATATTCCACAGACAAAAATTATTCAG